TACATTCGCTCCTGGCCTTCTTGCGGTTCTCCAATCCAGCTCGCCTCCGTCCGCGGACTTCTTCCCATCTCTGCCAACCACGCCTATGTCAGGATTCCGGGCGATCTATTCTGAGTCGTTGGTTCGAAAGCCTGAATAGCTATAGCATGAGTGGCGGGTTGGGAGAAGCCTCGACGCTCATCCCATATCTGAGACCAACAACAGTTGCTTTTTTGGCAGTTGTGCTCTTTCATGACGGCGTTTGCGGGTTTGGCCGGCATTGGAGGCCAGTTCCTCTGCGATTGAGCTGGTGGGGTGACACGTAGCGAACTCGTCGATCCATTCAAAGAGCAGAGAAGAAGAAGATTTCTTGACGCTTTTACTGCCGAAGCTATGGGTTGAGTGACGAGGCGGAACAGGACGTGACGTCTTTTTCATTAGAGTGTCAATTTTTTGTATCGGACCATATCAATTCACCATTTCGCTGTATAATTTCATATGACCTTTTACCTACCTAGGTATACTGAATGCTCCATTTGGCGTCTGGTGGGTGACTTGATATAGCCCACGACGCCGCAAGGTATCGGCCGTATTACACACTCGCTTATATACCTACATAGTGCTAACGATGATACTGGCAATTTCAGTACTAATGTCAGTCATTGGAATGAAGAGTCGTCCCAACACTCTACATCACTCTTGAACCCGACATGTCCATATCATACACCCAGGCGACTAACACCACTTATACCCATCCACAGCCTGGGCAGTAGAGCCGCCGAAACATCGAGTCCTCTGAGTCGCAAGATCGTCGTCCTGGTGTCGATGCCAATTTCTTTCGTCATTCACATTACTCTCCTTTCTGAGAGATATTTTATTATTATCTCATTCTTTCTGTTCTCATTGTCTACCCATGATCTGCCCGTAACTCATGTCATGGTTACAGCAACATGTACCTGGCTTCTTCCCACGGGTAACCTATTAATGAAGCTGCCGTTGAACGCCACTTCTACACCCTTTCACTCAACTATTGCTCCGTTGTCTACCTCCATCCATCACCCAAGTCTTCTTTCTTTCCACTATCGGTTTCTTCTACCTTCAGCGTCAATAAACTGATGACAGCACTCTAGAATATTATGGAGTTTAATCTCTATTGTCCACTAATTCCAGCGCAAGCTCCGCCGCCTCTGCTGCCCGCCTTAGCCTAGTCGGGCACGACTTTCATCATCCATCCGCGGCGCTAGTCCCGTTGAGGCTGCGTCATTGCGTCGCTCCCGAACTGCGGCAGCGACTGAGTCGGACTTGGATTGAATTGCATCTGGACAAAGAAACCCCTGAATCTGCGTCTCTGCCTGGACGCGATCTCTCCAGCTCATCGCACTCTTTTTCTTTCTACCAGTTTTGCTCGATATTCTGCTTCGTCCTCTGTCGTTCCTCTTCTCTTCCTTTGCTCTCGTTTTGCGCTGCTGTCCAATCAATACCTGCGCTGCCCCGGCGAAAATGGTGACCGGGCAAGACGCCGCCTCGCTACAATGACCATGGCCAGGACGAAGACCGACGGCGAAATCACCTTTGACGGCGAGGACGGCCGGCTGCTATCGCGCGACTTCGACTTCGACCGCCATGCCGACCACGACAGCGCCGGGACCGCCAGCCCCGCGAGCACCGACCTCGGCATCATCACCAGCGTGCTCAAGGCGCCGCGATCCGAGTTCGAGCACGAGGTCAAGACGCCGCGCACCCCCGGCCGGGTGCAGTTCGACCTGACGCCGCGCATCCTCAACTTCAGCGACGCGCCGCTCGGCCGCCTGTCGACGTCGTCGTCGCTGTCGTCGGGCGACCGCTTCGACTTTGACGACGCCGCCGCCTCGGGGCTGGACTCGCACCGCGTGCCGCTGCTGACGGACCTCGAGGCCCCCAGCGTCACCGTCGCCCGCGAGTGGGACGATGCCGGCGGCGACGGCGACGAGGAGCACGCCAACGCCGCCGAGGCCGAGCTGCGGCGGCCCAAGTCCGGCCTGCAGTCGGCCTTTATGAACATGGCCAACTCCATCATCGGCGCCGGTATCATCGGCCAGCCCTACGCCATGCGCCAGGCGGGCCTGCTGGCGGGCACGCTGCTGCTGCTGGCGCTGACCGTCGTCGTCGACTGGACCATCTGCCTCATCGTCATCAACAGCAAGCTCAGCGGCACCAGCAGCTTCCAGGGCACCGTCCAGCACTGCTTCGGCCGCCCGGGCCTCATTGCCATCAGCGTCGCGCAGTGGGTGTTTGCGTTTGGCGGCATGGTGGCCTTTGGCGTCATCGTCGGTGACACCATCCCCCATGTGCTCACGGCCATTTGGACGGACCTGGCGAGCGTGCCGGTGCTGGGGCTGCTGACCGACAGGAGGGTGGCCATTGCCGTCTTTTGCATGGGCATAAGCTATCCTCTGACGTTATACCGGGACATTGCAAAGGTAGGCTACAATTGTCTCTTACAGATGCGGTTTTTGGGGAACTTGCTAACGGCGAAGCAGCTGGCCAAGGCGAGCACGCTGGCCCTCATCGGCATGCTGGTCATTGTCGTGACGGTGCTGGTCCAGGGCGTCCTGGTCCCCTCGGCCGATCGAGGCTCGTTCAGCACGCCGCTGCTGACGGTCAACGGCGGCATATTCCAGGCCATTGGCGTTATATCATTCGGTACGCCATCTCTGTCTCAAGCGGCAGGCTGCAAGCTGCTCTCAAGCTGCACCGGCTAACATTCTCACAGCCTTTGTCTGCCATCACAACTCCCTCCTCATTTACGGCTCCCTTAAAACACCCACCATCGATAATTTCTCCCGCGTGACGCACTACTCCACCGGCGTCTCCATGCTCGCCTGCCTCATCATGGCCCTCGGCGGCTTCCTCACCTTTGGCGACAAGACGCTGGGCAACGTGCTCAACAACTTCTCGTCCGACAACTCCATGGTCAATGTGGCGCGGCTGTGCTTCGGCCTCAACATGCTGACGACGCTGCCCCTCGAGGCCTTTGTCTGCCGCGAAGTCATGATTACTTACTTTTACCCCGACGAGCCGTTTGACCTGCGGCGGCACCTGATTATCAGTACGGCGCTGGTTGCCGGCGCCACGACCCTGAGCATGTTGACGTGCGACCTGGGCATCGTCTTTGAGCTCGTGGGCGCGACCAGCGCGGTCGCCATGGCGTACATCTTGCCGCCCATGTGCTACATTAAGCTGACGACTAGAAGCTGGCGGACCTACATGGCTGCTGCCATTGTCGTGTTTGGAGTGGCCGTCATGGTCATTAGCGTGATCCAGGCCATAGATAAGATGATAAATGGTGAGTCTTCATGATGTCTCTAAAGATCATCCCAGGATTGCTAACAATGATACACCAACAGGTTCAGAGACCGCAGCGCAATGCACCTAGAAACGGAGGCCGAACGCCCAACGAAATGATGTTAGAAAATTTACTTGTACGACTAGTATATAGATAGAGAGAGCATGGAACGGAATTTGCATATCTGCCTCGGGATGAAAACAGGACTGTATAAATAAGGAGAGCCGGACTTTTGCTGCGTTGTGCGTTTATGGTTCTGGAGTACCTTTGGTATGCAGCGTTGTCCGTTATCAAGGCATTTACATACGGTAGTATGTTGAGACAAATAGATATAAATTGCACACAAAAAGAGTCAATCATGCATTTCGTACCTAGTCCAACGTACCTTTTGTATAAATGAATGTGCATTATAATGAGAATTTGAGATTCCACAACTCCCGGGTAACCCATCCCTTCGCCAAAGCCATGAATCAATCCACTGCAAATCCCAATCAAACAAAACAGAGCATCGACTCCAATCACCGCCAGTCCGTCTAAACCACAACTCAGCCTCTCTACACAATACATATATACATACCTTTGTACAAGCAAACTGCATACAGTTAGTCATCTCGCCTGAACTCCCGCTCCCCCCCGGCGCCCCTTACAACAATCCGCGTGGCCCTCCGTCTCCTTATTCCCAAAGCAGCCTTCGTCACGAGTCCCGTTTTTCAACCACCCCCTGGGAACACACATGATCATCCCCCCCCTTCTAACGGGCACGCATGAGGAGATTCTAGGCAGGCAGGGCCAAGGCAACTGTGCAAACGGGCAAGGATCGGATCAGCCACCGGGGACTTTGACCGATGTCACCGGAGGAGCAGCAGCAGCGGTGGGTGGTGTTATCGTTGTTGTGATACGGAATCAGCCTTGAAACCGGCAACTTCCCAAGACACAGTTCAACCCCAATAAATCGTACAACGTCAACCTTCAATGGCCTTCCAAATTTGAGTAATCTACCAAGGACATTAGCCAATCGTTTCCAACCTATTACTCAAAATTCACACTGATCAAAGATGAATCTAGATCAAACCAAACCCACACCATCCTCTTCCATTCCCCGCTTACGCTTTACCTAGGTAAACCCCCCCAAATGCAGGTGCAGGGCCACCAACAAGTCCTCTGAGCGCCTTTTCCCACGATAGTAAGGACTTCAATACACCCCTCTTCTACCTTCTCTCTCCAATGATCCTCACAATCACAACCACCAGATGTTTACAATCTGGAAGACAGACACTGCTAGATAGATGGAGGGTTGCTTCAATCCAAATCCCGGTATCACACTCCGAGCCACTAGTAAACAACCCCCAATTATAGATGTTCCCTCAACCCATCCACAAGACCAATGAAACCCCATCCATTACCACACTCCCAAAGGCTTAGCACACTTCCAATGCTATCGGTAGCTGCCCTGCCCTCGGCATCACCCGCGTCCCATGTCACGTCCCTACACTTTGCAAAGAAGGTACCCAAAATAGGTCTCAAAATTCATATAAAGAGGAAGGGTCCATCCAACTCCAAACCTCCCAACCCCGCCCCGTCTTCCCACCTCTACCTACCACACCGTACATCTCAACTTCAAATAACCCACACACTCAACCTCTTCTCAAAACACTCATAGAAGATCGACAACTAGACAAAGGAACCATCAACAACAATGCAGCCCGTCAACTTCAACCACGCCTCCTGCCCAAAGTGCTCCGCCACCATTACCTCCGGCACAAAGACCTGCCAGAGCTGCGGTGCCGTACGTTACCCTCCTCCCCTTCCCCATCGTCTCTTTACATCTTCATCTCGATTTTTGCCATGTCACGTTATCAGCAACTGACATTGAAGTACAGACGTGCCCCAACTAAAACAGCTCATCAACACCTCTCAACCCTCCCCGCGCCGAAAATGAGGCTATGGCGAGGATGCACCAAGGGGCAGAGATGATTGAATGTAGATGGGCGAGTGAATGAGTTGATGAAGAAACAGTGAATGAATAAAATCTGACATCTATTTTCACTATGACAAGTTGCAGCGTTATATGAAGCCTGGATAGAGGGCAACAGTCGGCGTTACTGCCCGGTATGCTGTCTCTTATTCCAAGCTATATGCCGTTTCATGCCATCACAAGCACACGTGGGATTATCTAGCCATGAAAGTTATTGCCATAAAAATGCGCCCAGAACGACATGGTACGGATCACGAACAGCAAAGAATGATATGGCATGGATCACAATCACACCTATCAAGTTTAACACGAGAGGCTATGATGACAAGGCTACCGGCATCACAATAGTGTACTCGCAATCTAACATGTTGTGTGTGTAAAGAACAGAGCGATATTACAACCAAGCCAAGTAAAAAAAAAAAAAGAAAAAGAAAAAAGAGATAGCCGGACAATACAAGACAGGAAGAGACACATAGCCTTTAGAAATAGAAGAAAAAAAGACAAATATATGATGACCTGTTGTAGAGACCGCTCGCAAGAGTCCCAGCAACTTCCAAAGTGCGAAAAATCCACAGCTACCTACTTACATCCTGCTCTCCCTCTCTCGTAGACTAGACAAACTGCAGGCCCCTCTCTATTCCATCTGTACGCTCCCGAATCAACCGTCGACCGCTCGCAGCTCAGAAGAAAAAGAAAGCCAGCTCCAACATTAGGCCCGTCGACCCCGTTCCGCCACCACTGGGAAGATACAGTAAAGCAAGACCGGCTTGCCCGCCGGCATTATGACAAGAGGCATAAGGGGGAAAACATCTGGTTTACCTTCTTTCGCAATCGTCTCTCTTTCCCTAGAGAATCCTTACTCCATGACGGTGATGGGCCTGCAGAACCATGCACGCAACCAAGTAACCCTGCTCGCCGTGTCCGCTGGCGAAAGACGCAAGACACGCAAAACGAGACAATCAAATTCCAAATCCCCGAAATAGAAAGAAAAGAACCCATGCCCGGAGACAGCCGGAGGCCCATTGTGGCCCGACATCCATCCTCTACCACCCAACCAGCCGCGTGTTGCTTGTTTCAGTTGGTTTGCGAAGAGCGGAAACGCAGCGAGTCACAAAGGGTGGGTAAGATCGAGCCGCAGTGGGGAACGGATGTGCATGGGATGGGCAGGCACAAGAAGAAGGACTCGTTTACAGAACAAGGCACTTCTTGTGGCTGCTCTTGCGGGTGGAGCGAGACATGAGAGCAGCGCGGGTGGCATGCTCAAAGACCTCGCGGACACCCTGGCCGGTTCGGGCAGAGCACTCCAGGTACTTGTACGCGCCGATCTTCTTGGCAACAGCCTCAGCCTGCGTGGATGGATTAGTTTCAATGATGCGGTATCATGAATCAGAATGGCAACTCACGTCCGAAGAGGACACCGGCTTCTGGTTGGTTGCCCTCAAGGCCTCGATGGTGTTGGGGTCGTCTCGCAGATCGGCCTTGCAGCCGACCAGGATGATGGGAAGACCTGAGCAGAAGTGCACGACCTCGGAGATCCACTGTTGAAGACGCGTTAGATATCTTGTCCATCATGCAGAAAGCGGCCGCGAGTGGACAGATGACGTACCTTCTCAAGAACGTTGTCCAGAGAGTCAGGAGAGTCGATGGCGAAGCAGATCAGGATGACGTGAGAGTCGGGGTAGGAGAGGGGTCGGAGACGGTCATAATCTTCCTGTCCAGCCGTATCCCACAAGGCCAGCTCGACGTGCTTGTTGTCGACCTGGACATCGGCGACATAGTTCTCGAAAACGGTGGGGACGTAGACCTAGGACGACGGGATATGTCAGCATGGAGTTGCTTATCTGGCAGCACGCAGCGGTGCCGCTGGTTTCCCCCCTTCTCAGTGATGGATGGCTCGATTGTAATGATGAAATAGGTGATGATGATATTCGATGGAATATTGATGGGTCACGGGTCGAAGGGGACGCCCGCGGCCGCTTTTGACACGTCAGGGATTTCTTGCCGCGCCTTGGGGTCGACGCCAACGTCACACAGCGCCCAATCTCGGGTTCGCGGTGCATCGCCGTCGACACAGAGGTGAGTGATGGCGCTCGAGAGGCATCGGACGTGATATCGAGCGGCCAATGGCGATGTTGTGTGTTGTGGTGTCGTTGGCGGCAAAACAAAAGGCGGCGGCTAATGAAGACGCAGCGGAGGGCAGAATAGGGGATGGGATGCAGACGGGCTGCGCTCAATGCGTACCTCAGGGAAAGCGCCCTTGGAGAAGACACTGCAGAAGGAAATTGTCAGCTGGACTGGTGCTCTGGCGCGGGTCTTGATAGCGATGCGTCGTTGCATCGACGGGCGTGAGGCCACGGCTGCCTTGGGGGGCAAGCGTGCCGCGGAAAAAAAGACGGGCAATTTTCTGAGGCGACTCGGACTCACATCAACAAGCAGGTTTTACCGCAGGCACCGTCGCCGACGATGACGAGCTTTCGGCGGATCTCAGCCATGGCGTCTGTGAAGCTTTGCGGGAGTGGGAGATGAAGAGGCGGCTGGTTGAAGATGGGAAGGTAGAGCGTGCGGTGGTGGTGATGGCGGTGGTTGATGGAATGAAAGGAAGAAGCAGAAGACGGACGTCAGAAGCAGAAGCAGGACAGAAGGGGGAGTGTGACGGAAGAGAAGCTGGGCCTGGGTCTGGCCCGGGCTTTTGGCTTTTGCAGGCACAAAGTACTGGGTACCTGGGTGCTTAGCACGGCGTACAGGTGACTTGGGTGGGGAGAGGGGGAAGTGAGTGGTACTGGAAGAGGCAGCGCAGCACAGAGCACAGCAGCAGAGGAGCCCGGGCTGCTTTTGTGTCTTTGGGGCTGGTGACTGCGACGCCTCTTCTGGGGTCCTACGGTGGAAGCAAAAAAGGGAGAAGCAACCTAAGCAGAGGAAATAATTAGGACTGCCCGGTATCCGCCAGGTATATCTCCTGCGGATTTTAGCTGCAGCAGGACTTGTCGACGATCACTGCAGTGGCCGCTGGCGCTATAATTGCAGCGACCGCTCATGGCCTCAGCGCGTGCCGGTACTCGGTACCTCCAGCTAGCGCGTCCTGAGGCAGCCAACAATTTCTGGGGACTCGCCAATGGCCTCGATTGATTGCTCCAGGGCAGAAAGGAGCGGAGGGAGCAGCAGCAGCAGCTCGGGGTGCAGGTGCTGTGCGAGCCCAGTCCTCTGCAGTGAGTTCCATGAGCCCTCCAGCCACCAGCTTTCAGCGTTCCAGGCATCCCCCCAGCAAGCTCACCTCCGTTTTGAGTGAGGAGGTCATGTTGTGTGTACGAGGACTTCAAGCGCCATAGTGCTGCTGAGGCGGTACTCGGTACGGGGCAGTATTACTGTATCTCAGGAGTGCAGGCCTCTTGTTGCGCCTTGGCGGCTGGCAGCTGGCCCAGCTCACCTGAGCCGCTGATGCGCACCGCGTTCTCGGCTCTCGACGGAGCGCGCCAGAGCCCTCGACCCTGCGCCGGTACCTGACCGCCTACGGCCTCACCAGACAGCATCCATCCATCGCAAGGAAACATAATACACAGCAACAAGAATCCCGGGCTGGACGCGTCGCCTGGCAGCGGCAACGGGAGGTGGCTGAGACGCTGGGAGATAAGGCAAGGCCAGACACATGCGGCCAAGAGGGAGCAGCGCTCGCCGCGCCGCCAGCGCTAGAGCCAAGTACACGCTACTCGCTGCCTCGGACGGTGGCACCCTCGAGTGCCTGACGATACCTGATCCTTTATATTACGGAACTCCACCGATGGGTCAAGACGCGTACCTCTACTCCGATGATGTGCGCTTTGCCCGATAATGCTGCCAAGTGCTCAAGGTACCGGTACTCGGCGTCTTGGAATCGTCGAGAGCAGCGCGTTACAGAATCGAGTAGCACTAACAGCACCGTCGCCGCAACAAGTACAAGTACGCACGTCCGCGTTTGATGATGGAAGAGGCTGAGATGACGACCACTTTTAATTTGATCCCCAGAATGATTGCTTCTCGCGCTGGTGAATCATCTGGCGGTCTGTTTCGTATTGTCGGCTGAACCACGTACCGACACCCGCGGCTCAGCAGCGGCTTCATTGCAATGGATAGACATCGAAGAGGCGGCCTTCAGTCCGTGACCTGTTGAAGGACTTCGAGTCTCAGCGTCAACTCGAACGCCCTGAGGCTGTCCGCCGCAGCAAATTGCCTTATCTTGGCTGTGGTAGCACCCAAGAACCGCGTACCCACCCATGCAATTTATTCCTGATTGGACTGGGAATGACGATACCTTCTCCCTACATGCATATGAGCGCGAGCATGCTGTTTCTTACTAACGTGCTGGTCCTGCCTTCAGTGCGTCCCTACAAGCATTATCGGGCCAAGCATCGAGTGCTCCTTGCAGGCAGAGCATCAGCCGTGAGGTGCGGCCAGTACCGGTACTTCGTATTTCGTGCCACCAACCAGCTGCGCGCTCTTTGTCTCTGCCAACCAAATCTCACCTCGGCCGTTGTCCTGTCTCTGCCTCTCTTTCCCCCAGGTCAGACCGCTTCCCCGACGCCTAGGCAGGGTGACACGGCTTGCGTGCCTCCTGACATGACTGGCCCTTGCAACGCCCGGTGGCAAAGTCCTACGCATCTAGGACTTGGGCTGGTGGCACGCACGGTCGAGCGCAGAGCTGTCATAATTCAGCTACTGATGCTCCTCCGTACATGGTAGTATGCGGTACAGCATGCATTACCCGATTCTCCATACTCGGCACATGCAGCTGGAGTTGCTGCATTAGGTGAATTGACTTGACTGAAGCGCCTCGGGTGAAGCAATCACATGGTTGACGGGCTCACTAGATGCACATGTATTTCCTTGTTGGGCCCTTCAAGTTGTTGAAGCGTCATGTTCCGGCGAGCCATTGCTTGCGAAGATGATGCCCCCAGTTTCCATGAGAATCGGTGCATGGATCTGTCTGATAGAGTACCCAGTCTCAACGCCTTGGACAGGCATGGCTTTCGGTCACGGCGTTCTTCACCGAATAAAAGAGCAAACCCAAGATGCCCAGCTCTGTGTGACACCTTGACACCTTCAACGGAACATTCGTTGCACTCCGGGGTCCGCAACAGCCTCGTGTCACCACTGCTTCTCACGGAGCATCGGCAATGTCTCCTATTCCAACTTTTGATGCATCCCCCATTTTCTCTTTCTGTAACTCCTTGAGTTCACCACTACTTCCGTCTTCCCATGACTCCGGCACCGCTCGAAGCATCACAATGTGTTTCCGCATCTCTTATTAGCGTCCTGCCAAATGCCCGCCTCCCTAATAATGAGCATTTCCGTCCGGAGTGCTGTTCCCGTGCCTGACGCTTTATACATACTGTGACATGCACGCCTAAAGGTCCCTATTGGAGCCTGGAATGTCCTCCAGGCAGACAGTGCGTGTGGTCAGATTCACACTCATCGACATTCATCGCTGACCTTATCAGCTTATCGGCGTCGCACCGGCCTGTCCCGCGCTTGTGCTGGTGCTGGATTGAAGATTTTCCGAGCCATCTCGAAATCGTCCCGCAAAAGGCCATCAGTCGATATTACCACCAACCTGCAAGTCGGCGCGGGCAGCATCCATTGCGGTCAATGGGCTGCGTTTCGGACTCTCTAACACACCGCTGAACCCCCCTCTCGACCATGCAGAAACTCGCGAAACGAGTGGCGCAGGCCCAGCGCCAGGCGACCCGTCGCTCGAAGCTGCAGATGGAGCACGAAAATGTCGACGCAAAGCTTCGAAGCCGTCTGGCGCTGCGATCAGCAGTGGGCGAAGTCCGACAGAACCTCAAGGATGCGAGAAAGGCGCGGAGGGAGGACTGGGAGCTGGGTCCTCTGGCTCCCAAGCGCGACCTGGGCTTCAACGACTACGGCGCCTTTAAGGAAAATGTGCGGCAGGACTGGTCAAACTACGGCCTGCACCAGCCGAACCCAAAGGTCGTCGAGCAGCGATGCGCCTGGGCTGGAGGCGTCAAGCAGCTGAATCTTGCGCCTGGAGACCGAGTGGTGATTCGAGACGGGCCCGACAAGGGCAAGATTGATCGCATCAGGTCGGTCCAGCCGCAGGTTGGCACCGTCACCCTGGAAAACCGCCATCAGGTACGCTACAGTTGAGAGATGCTTTACTACGATGCTCATGGAATTGTCACTAATCATGAATTTGTGTGCAGGCCGTTGTTCAGGGCATGTTTGGCAACCCCAGCCGACCGCAGCCCATGCCGATATCCATCGCCTCCATTCGCCTAGTATACCCCATCACGAACCCCGAGACTGGAGTCACGCGAGACGTCGTCATCAACCAGCTCAAGGCAGTGCCTCCCAACATGCAGTCCCCCAACATGTCCCTGGACCGCTGGCGGTACGGCAAGAAGTGGGATCGCCTGGTTCCCGGGCTCAACGTTGTGATTCCCTGGCCCGCAGTTGAGGTGCCCGAGTTCGAGACCACGGACGCCGACACCATTCGAGAGCAGGTGGAGGATAGGACATTCTACTACGGCCTGTTGTCGCCGCCAATGCCAGAGCAAGTGGTGGACGAATTGAGAAACAAGTTTTCGAAATTCAGAACAAGGCACGAGGCGTGGTATATCCAGAAGAAGCAGGCAGAGGAGGCTTTGAAGAAGGGCCGGCTGGAGGCTCTCAAGGCCATGCAGACGCCATTGGACGAGTTCCACGAGAAGAACCGGGCCGCCCGTGCAGAGGCTGGAGAGCCCGAGCTCTCAGAAGAGATGCTGGCCAAGATTGGCGAGTTTATGGCCAAGAAGAAGTCGGCGGCTCTGGAAAATGCCGGCGCATCGGAGGTGTCGACAGCGCCAGTTCCGCCGCAGGAGACTACGAATGCACCATGAGCAACTGCTGGTTGCCCGCAGTAGATGAAGAAAACAGAAGGACGAACAAGAACCCAAGCCACGGATCGAGTGTCAATTTGGCGTGGCTGGCATGTAATTTATATAGACTTGTGTGTACAACTACGAGATGTACATTATGACGGAGCAAATGAAGACATACAGTTATCAATGGCTTATCGTTGCTCCTTTGCAGCCTCATCTACGGCTCTTCAATTAACGTTGAAGCTAATTGTCATCTATATGTGTAAAGGCTGGAGGACTAATGGCGTCTCCCGTATCGCTCTCACGCAAAGATAAGGGATCAAGATATTGAATCTCCACCCACACACCGGCCATGATCGACCAACCCCTCCCCCGCCTATGTAAACTCACCTCTGCTAGGGAATTGACAGCCGCTTGCCACTTCACTTATATAGACAATTGCGTGTTATCTCTTTGTTTCAATTCTGTCTGTTTGTTTTCACCAGAGAGCCTCGTAGCGTCTCATTTAATACCCCATAGACCATCATGTCGCACTCTCACGACGGCGTCTCGCATTCCCACGACGGCTTCAATGCTCAAGAGCACGGCCACTCTCACGAGATCCTCGATGGCCCCGGCAGCTACATCGGACGCGAGATGCCCATCGTCGAGGGCCGCAACTGGGCAGACCGCGCATTCACCATTGGCATTGGCGGGTGAGTCAGTTCTTACCGGAATCAACCCATGATCCAGTCAGGCTTTATAGCAGACAAACTGATCTGAGCCCATAGCCCTGTTGGCTCAGGCAAGACCGCCCTGATGCTGGCCCTCTGCCTCGCCCTCCGTGACAGATTCTCCCTCGCAGCCGTCACAAACGACATCTTCACCCGAGAAGACGCCGAGTTCCTGACCCGCCACGCTGCTCTCCCCCCTCAGCGCATCCGCGCCATTGAAACCGGCGGCTGTCCCCACGCCGCCGTCCGCGAGGACATTTCCGCCAACCTCGCCGCGCTGGAAGACCTCCATGCGGAATTCGACACGGATCTGCTGCTCATCGAATCGGGAGGCGACAACCTGGCTGCCAACTACAGCCGCGAGCTGGCGGACTTTATCATCTACGTCATTGACGTGAGCGGCGGCGACAAGGTTCCGCGGAAGGGGGGCCCTGGCATCACGCAGAGCGACTTGCTGGTGGTGAACAAGACGGATTTGGCGGAGGCGGTGGGTGCTGATTTGGGGGTTATGGAGAGGGATGCGAGGAAGATGCGGGAGGGGGGCCCGACGGTGTTTGCGCAGGTGAAGAAGGGAGTGGGCGTGGAGCACATTGTGAATCTGATTCTGAGCTCGTGGAAGGCGAGTGGTGCTGAGGAGGAGAGGAGGAGTCGGGGAGGGCCGAGGGCGACGGAGGGGATTGAGGGGTTGAAGAGGGAGGCCTAGAGTGTTGTGGTGATGGGAATTTGATGAGATATCTTGAGCTTGTGCGGGTATGCAAAGAAGATATCGTGGCTTCCCCTCAAGTGAGGGTACCACACGGTTGATAATGAAAGATTCTCACAGTTCAGGTGGTACATACAGTATAAGGCTTGGAAGATTGTGAATCTTGAGATGGCACTTCTTTGTCACTCAAGGAGTATCTACTCAGGTAGATGGCTGCAAGTGTTCAGTCCAAGAGCTCGCTCACTTGGTAACTTTTTGCATCAGCCACTTGTTATGATATGGAGAGCGTGACGCACAACGGCAGAGAAGCATATTGTGCAGTCATGGAACTTAATTCGGCGGCAGAGTTCTGAAAGGCACTGACCGGCTGTTCTGCTGTATGCTCTGGTAGTCTTGGATGAATGAGCCGGCGGAGTATAGGGTGTATGGAATGGCGCGGGTGATGGGTACAAGGCCATTCAGATTATTCGCCTTCTGGCGTGTGAATCCTGCCTGAGAGGCGTGATACAATGGGAAACACGCTGAAGGCTGGCCTCGGATCTGCGTTGTTTTACGAATAATGTGGCTATGGGATATGAACGTCCTAGTGAAAGGCATTGCCATCTGGAGAGATGAGCAAGTTGGGAACATACCCCCGTTGTACTTGAACAGGTACTAGATGATGCGCTGTATGAAAAGATGCTTGATCTTTTAGATCGCTGGATGATGCTTTGGCAGTCATATACATTCTATTTCTATTGTATGTACGTGTGTAAATATGTACAGGACGGGCGAGCCCAAGCTCCCCGCCTAGAAAATACCTGGGCAGCTGTTTAGACCGTCCATCATGTTGAACTCTCGTTCCTCTGTATGTGTGCTATTCGAGGCAATTAGATCGTACGTTCGGATATAACTCCCCGCTTGATTGTTGGGGAAATTGAAGGGAATGACACCCGTGACAATGGACGCATTGTAAAGAGTGTATCCTGATCCCTCGATAGGCCCGACCTTGGTGAAGTCGAGGGGAATGGATCCAACGCTGGGAGTGAGTGAAAGCAGCGGCTCTGGAACGTGTACGATTGCCTTTAATGTGTCGAGCTTGGAATCATCGCGGATCTATAACAATGTATTAGAAGTCGTACGTAAAACTGGAACAGAATGGGAACAGCTTACCGCCACGCTCAAGTCCATCCGTCCCTCAGACGTGACTTCAGAGCACGAAAGCTTTGGCTGAGTAACGATAGTATCATCAAACGGGAAGCCATTTCCGCCATTCGTATACAAAGTACTGTTGATCACCCCGTTGACGTTATCGACAACCTCGACATCGAACCCGGAAACGCCCTGTGCGAGGGGGATCACGGTCGAGAAGGGATACGTCCAAAAGGTAAGCGGAGGGTTGCCGTACATGACATGGCCGGATGCGAATGCGGGAAAATTGTCGCTGATGAGACAGGGCTGGGAGTCAGTGCATGCGCCGGCACGAGGGTGGAAGTGAAGCTTGACGGTGCGGTTTGGGTTGGCTGCTACGGAGCCGATGACCTGCTTCGTGTTAGTAAGTGTTGTTACTCTTCGCGGTGTTTATGGCGGGTGGAAGACTGACTCTGATGTAACCAGACATGGTCATTGTGCCATTGGTGTTGATGGTGGCAAACAGACGTAATGGCTTCACGGGAATGGGCTGGATAGGATCGGTCAACGTGACGCCCTTGGGAACCGTGTTGATCATCCGTTCAAGCAGATCCTGGCATCTCTTGAAGAAGTAGGTAGAGGATGATGCCATTTGTCCAATCTCTTGGCCTCCGTCAGAGCTAAAGATCCGGGCATCGGATCTTGTGGTCTCATTGTGCCCGAAAGCAAGAGGATTCTGCGTGATGTTGTTCACGTACTGAACGGCACTTGTCCAACGTCAGCCGGTTCTTATTCAGGCAAGTCTAGGTGTCTTACACCGTGTTGTCAAAGGCAGTGAAGCCCGTGTTGGTAGTGTCAAATGTCTGAGTGTTGTCATCCGTTGCCTTTGCACACCTGTTAGCCGATCCGTATACGCATCTTCCATACAAGAGAGCAACTCACTGGATCATTCACGACGTCCACAATCTCGGGAAAATCCACGCCGTGAACGCCTCCCAGGGTATGTCCGCAAGCCACCAGCCCAATCATCTCCTGCGGCGTGAACCCCTGCTTCTTGAAGCTGCTGATGTGCTCGTCCAGCGGCTGCTCCGGCCGGGGCACGCCTGACGGACCCGGGCCCGTGGCATCGACTCTGCCGGCGCGGTAGGGGATCTCAATACTTCCGTTGGAACAGCCATTTGCAGCAAAGAGGGCTCCCAAAGCGATGAGATCGGCCATGGATGATCGTGGCGTCATGAACGCAATCAGGTTCATCAGCGTCTCGTTGAAGCCGATGCCTACGTTCTCATCACGGTTGACTTCGAAGCCAATCGAAGCGTCGATGCCTCCTGTTCCCGCGTCGACGTCGGCGGTCGCCATGTCGTGGTATGCTGTGCGCAGCCATTCCGCCGCGCCGTTTCGACCTGTGCCAAAGGTGACTTTGTCGCAGGGAACTATGAACGTTGCGGGCGAGTTGGCGGATCCGAAACCCTGCTGCTCGTAGAGCATGGACTCGAGGAGGTCGGTTTGGGCATTGGGCCAGATGTATTCCTTCTCGGCGTAAGCGGAGCCGGCCACCAGGCCGAGCTGGGCGACGGTGGATAGAAGGCGGTTTGAGAGAACCATGACGACTGTTGGAGCCGGAGCTTGTTGAATTATAGCATTCGCGAGACCTTGATAGAGTGGAAGATGGATTTATCTTATATAGAGTCTATCTGTAACATATCAGTTGGGGGCAACGTTGTGCTCTCATCCTACGCGTCTGTCCTGCTCCATCTTCAAGGTCCACGATCCTCTTTCTTTGATCACCTTCCTCTTAAGTCCATGACAAAGAGAAATTCTGAATCACGACGGACTATACGTGAGTCGAATCTTCCCGGTGCGTAGAGGGCATCTCTCCGGTATAGTAATAATAACTTATACGCCATTGGTGGCCTCACGCGGCGGTAAGGCCGGACTTTGGCCATCTGCAAGGGCCCAATGCGACCTGCCTATATAGCTTCATGAAGACCGCCGATTAGTCCAAGTGCTGAAAAATTGTGTGTTACAGACAAGGTGCTGTTGGAATAAACTATGCCCTATGCGATCTATAATTCGAAAGTTGGGTGAGATTTTAGCAGGTAGAGCTTCAGCGTTACATCCATCGTCTGGCTGTCAGATGGATCGAACCATATTTGCTTGGGCTTCCAGAAGATGTCGATACCTTTATGAGAGCTGGCTAGCCTTTACTGGAATGTGAAGCTGTCATCTTGGCGTCTCAATTTGTCCGGGACTCCGCGGGACTTGGTAACGACACTGTATGTATAGTTTTGCTCTCTTGAAAGACTCATCATGATGCGCTTTTATATGACTTGGGATCTGACAAGGCTTGGTATGTCCACAGCTACTCTCAGAATGCTCCCTGCATGCCGAGAGGCTGAATATTTAGCTGCAGTATGTAGGCAGTGATGAGCATCAAGAAGTCGATTTATATTGATGATAGTTTCGAAATAGTTTCTCTGCTCTGGAAGTAATTTCGGATCAAATGATGCTCGACGGAAAACAACAACTCAAGAATGCCATTCAAACGTTCAGCCATTCCTTCAACTTGCAGCATATTTGTAGCTTGCGGCACGCTAATATGGATGCATATGCAGGTTGAACTGGACACTTGGTCGATTGTGGGGAGACGGCCAGGCAACTCTGAACTTGAATGCTCCAAATTGAAGCTGAGGTCGGTAGAAACAAACCACGGCCAAACACACATCTCAAGATCTAATAGACTCAAGCGGCGGCGATAACCCGCGTGGCGTTAATAAACTTCACAGTCTAGGCTTGTTCCGCATCTAGACTCTTCGTCTGGTGTAACCTGACATTGGGCGGGAAGAAGCTGTAAAACGTCATTGCCCTTTGTTCCCCTCACTGAATCCCTCGTTCTCACTCATCGCCGCGTCGAAGCGTTACTGCCCGGACAAGCCCAGATATCGTCACAATGTCAGGCACAACCGCCCTCGTCTCCGAGGGCAACTTTTCCTTCACCAACGGCGTCTTCTTCGCGGAATCATCCGGCCATAACAAGCACCGACGCGCGACTCATGAAGAGCTCAGAACCCATTTCGCGTCCGGCAGCGACAAAGACCACACGGCGCACTGGTTCGAGGCGCAGCTCATGCATTATGGCCTCCAGCCGTCCAAAACAAAGTCCGTGGCGCGCATGCGGCTGTTTGATGCCGTACGAGGAGGCTCTCTATCGGTGCCCACTCACATCGCAGTGTTGGAGCAGAAGCTGAAGAAAGAATGGACGAAGCGGGATAGGGACGAGAAGAAGGCCGCAAAGGCAGCCACTTCCAAGGCGGCGCCAAAGGCTGAGGCTTCCACCGCGAGAAAAAGAAAGGCAGAAGTCACCGTAAATGTCACGGTGAATACAAATTCGCCGGTGGCCACGGCGAGTGCGCCTAAGCGTACCAAAAATGCGGCATCATCCGCAGATGACTCTGCTCCAGCGCCTCGATTTGCGACGAAGCAGACGGCACGTCGTGGTTCGGGTTGGCGAGCTCCGAGCCGTCCGGAACCCGCGAGACGAGCCTCTTCATCACCTGAACGAGCTCCGTCTTCTGCTTCCCGAACCAAGCAAACGGCAAGACGCGGTAGCGGCCGGCCAGCTTCAAGCCGCCCAGAACCAACGAGACCAGCCTCACCATCTCCTCCGAGAACCAAGCAGATGGCTAGACGCTCACGTCCATTTAACCCACGCGGTTGCATAGTATCGTCACGAGCTCAAACCAGTGGATACAGCGAGTTTGCAACCTCTTTCGACGAAGCACCTCCCCCGTATGAGGAGTTCTCCGATTCAAGCAACCGCTTTGACGGAAACAGTCTCTCACCCCTCGGTCTTCTCAATGGTCGCTACGATATAAGCTGTCCCTATGTCGAATCGGAATGGCCCATGTGTGGCTCTGACTTCAGCCTCGTGCTGACCATTGTCGGTTCCAGCCTCTGGGGTAGATTCGATATGGGCATCATTGAGGGTGTGCTCTATATCGAAGAGCGACCCCGTGCCTCTTCTTTCGACAATATCCCCTTTGTTTGGCGCGGTCGGGAAACATCCGAAGGCCAGATCTTCTACGATGAGCGGTCGACATGTAACCAAGGCTCATTGAGATTTCTTGGTGATGGCAGCATCAAGGGATATTTCGAGTACCAGGACATTCAATTTGAGGGCCAGCGATTGCCCGGCCAAGGGACGAGAAGCGAACTTGATGCGAGGACTCTGCAGAATGAGTGGGATAGCTACAATGAGGACGAATACGAGCGGGAGAGAGTAGGACGGTGGCGATAGAACAGAAAAGGCGTCGGATGAGGACCTCTTCGTGTCAGGTGCGTTGCTGCGATCCCAGTCAGACCAGATTCTGATGCTCAAGCCCTGGGGAGATTTGACATGCTACAACGTATCGTGATCTAACTTCGTATTATCTCTATACCTAATATTATAAGTTGAATATTCTCTGGACTAAACCTCCTTTTGAGCAGTTTGAGCAGCCCCTTTATATGCCCATGGGAAACGCACCATGTGAGTTCACACGCACCAGCAACAACAAAGCCTTGTAGAACATCGACTGTGCAGGGCACTCTGAAGACCATGAACCGCAAGCAGGTCAAAAACCATCTAGTCTCAAGGCAGCAGAGACTGGCCCAGGGCAACCTCATAGAGCATTGGAGACCGACTCGGATTGTCTCGAATGCAAGAAGAAGGCTTCTTCTAAAGATTTGAGCAAAGCCTGGCTGAGTCAGCCAAAATGGGATCGTGGCCAGCTCGCTAAACGCCTTTTAACGCGTCTCTAGTCAATTCCGGGAAAAACGAAAAGAAAGGCTTGCTTGAAGGAGCAACACACGTCTCTGGTAGCACACCGGCGACAATTGTGGTCGCAGTAAAAAGGGGCCAAGACCTGGGAGAAGGGCAAATAGGTCGCAGCCAATTCTCGGTCTGTAACAATGTCTGGACCATCGATAATGCAGGGGACGAACAGCAGTAATGGTCAACAAGCCGCGCAACAGGCCTCTTCACAAGCTCAGGGCAGCGAAAACAACAACAACAACACCTCTACGGCCTCTTCTCAGCAAGCGCTTCCTCCAACCCAGCGGCCTTCTGATGCCGAAGTCATACGTCAACTAAGGACTGTTCCCTCGCCCCTGGAACGTTACGCCGGTCGATACACTATCAGCTACTGGCCTAAAGTGGACTTTGAATTCACCATCGAACTCATCGTCGTCGGCTGGACTCTTCGCGGGAGATTCGACCTGGGCCCCATTACGGGTGTGCTCGAGCTGGACGAAGTCCCTACTCCTTATCCCGATGGCTCTACCGATAGCGTTCTCATCCGATGGCGTGGCTACGAGCCCGAGACTCAAGTATTTCACGGTGGATATAACAATGATGGCTGGATAGCGTTCCTTGGTAACGGAGAGATTGAGGGATTTGTCAGTTTTGATAAGATTCACTTTGGAGGCAGCCGAGTGTCAGATGCTGGGACGACGGGCATTGACAAGACAAACTTGTGGGATGATTGGGTGTATTATGAGGAGAATGCTAGATTATCGCGCCAGTCACTTGCCTACTAAAAGGGCTAAGATAACAAATGGTTGAGTTCATTGTGTTGCAGGGACACTCAATCTTAGGTCCTGATGCTGCTCGCCTGAAAAGTATTCAGCCGGCTGAAAAGTATTCAGGCGAAAAGCATCAGGATTTCAAACCTCGAACACTGCCCTTGCCTTGGTCCACTTAGTCAGCCAAAATGCCCCAACTGGCGGCAATCCAGCATAAAGTACACGCGTTGACGCGTTTACTTGCCGTGTATTGGAGAATCTACCACATTCGTTCACCGGAAAGATGAAGAGACAAGCTGGCGCTGCCGTCACTGCGACGAGCGAACCAAGTCCGTCGCCAAGCGCACATGTACCCAAGCGGACCAAGACATCGCCTCCCTCGAAGAATGGCTCTGTATCGACGCCTCTCTCAACAGCAACTTCGCGGGCTGTAGCAACTAAGTCTCCGGCAAAGTCTAAAAGTCCGGCAACATCTGAGACTTCGGCAACATCTGAGACTTCGGCAACATCTAGGACTCCGGCGACGTCTACGTCTGAGGCTCCGGCGACATCTAAGAGTCTAACAACGTCTAGACCTCTGCAAACGTCTGCAGCTTCTCGGTCTGCAGCCACTCCCCAGTCTCTGGCAAAGCCAACAAGCTCTCCGTCTACAGCAACCTCTCAACAGCCGAAGAAGCAAGCGAAGAGCAGCGGTGACACGTCACAAGCTTCAAGCCAAAGATCCGTGGAGCAAGCCTCTTCGCAGCTTCAAACTGTTGGAAGCAGCCATTCGACAGCCTCTTCTGAGCAAGCAACCCCGCCAACTGAGCAACCTTCTCATTCAACCAGGCTTCCTCTAGTACCGGACAATCCGCACCTAGACCGCTACGCTGGCAAATATATCGTCAGTTACTGGCCTCTAGTTGACGCACAGTTTACCGTCGAGGTTGCTGTGTCCGGCTACATTCTCTGGGGAAGGGTTGATCTGGGGCCCCTGAAGGGCATATTCTTCTTGGATGAACGCCCTGAGCCTCACGCTGATGGGAGCACCGACGGCATCCTCATCAAATGGTGCGGCTACGCAGTTGAAACCTCGGAATTTATTGGTGACTACATGAATGGCGGTTGGATCATGTTTTATGGCGATGGAAAAATTGAAGCGTTCATTGACTTCGATGATCTTGGTTTTGCGGGCAACCGTGGTTCAGACGGTAAAGCGCCGGGTGCAGTTGAGAAGGAGACCTTGTATAAAGAATGGGGTGACTACCAGAGGAATGCTAGATTAACGTCAAAAAAGCGCTGGCGAGTGCGAAATAGAAGAAAGCACTGAATGAAGAAACCCTTTGGTTAGGATCAGGTGCGTCGCTGTAACCCATACCGTTCTACAGTGGCCTTGGCTGATCGCTTCTATGCATCTCCATAGGTTCACGGAGATCGTGAGCTCTCCAATTCACCTCCCCATGTCGAACTTCCGTGGTTCATGCTCTCAATGCGTTCATAGCGAGTACCGAGTATGGATGTTCTGATTTCAGTTTCCCTTCATGTTAGAACGTTGCTTGTTGTTCATCTTTGGGCTAGATGCGCCTGTTCTTACGCTTCGAACTTTGCATGGTTGAGGCTCCTTGACAAGGTTTCTTACTTACTCCTCAGGCGCCGCTTTTCAGCTTCTCGAACCTGCTAGAGGAAAATTCTCTTTCTCAATTCTGGCAATGGGTATCTCAAATGAAGTCTAATTCTAATAGTAAGTACGGGCTGTTTGTGCTGTATGCAAAAGTGCCGTGATACGCCGCAGACTTCGACCACACACTTTCTCATCCTTAGGTGAGTCAACACCTTCGTAGACAGTACTGTATCGCTAAGCACACATCCTCTACTGCGTCCATCGTAAAGTCATAAACGTCGTGAGTCATTCGTATCATGGAAACAATATGCTGTAAGACTCCCTCGGTCTCCTTCGTATCTTCATCGACCTGAGACATAAAGTCAGTACGTCTTTATCAACTGTGGATGGTATATAACTTACAGCTTCTCGCATAGCTGCCGCTGTTTATTATGAAACTTGGCCAACGGACGGCCCTCAGCATCCGCTAGAGCCTCTTCCTCGAGCTCATCCTCAACAATCATGCGCGCAAAAGCGCTAAAGCGGACGGCATCCGGTCCTGTCCATCCATAGTTGAGATCCAATTGTTGCTGAAATACTGCGTCCTGCAACCTCTCCTTGAAGTTCAGCTCGCGATACACTCGTCGGAATATCTTGATGCTGACATCATCTTCCATTTGGAAGGCATCGCGCGCCTCGCAATAGAAGTTCATCCAGGCCCTGTCTAGACCCCAGGGAGCGACGCCTTCTTCAGGACACAGCTCCCCCAATCCCAATTTCAGCGCCTGATAGAACGTGTATTCTACACCCCTCTTGTAGTCCGGCTTGATCTTCTTGCGACTGGAGTCCTTGAGAAGACCGAGGAAGCCGTATAGACGATCCCGTATGTCTGTGCATTGCAGACGGCCGTACTTTCTGATGACGTCGCGGAGCTGGTCCGGAACCCGAGACTGATATGTGCCAAAGGACGCTGAGGGCTGGCGTAGAACCGCAGTCATGTCTGGCAGCGTCCCCATAACGGATGCCTCTTTGGTAGTGTCCTTGGTCATTCGGCAAAGCAGTCTCATTCGGTGCCCAAGGATGGCCTCTGACGGAGAGCGGACTCGACTTGCATCGCTTTTCAAAACGCTTGGTCTGCCGTCCACACTGAATCTCGTCACGACGATGTCTCGGGATTGTGGTGCTCTACCCAGAAGTAGCGGAGAGAATGCGAACGGCCCGCACCATATCTGCAGATGCGAAGAGAGTAGGACCTCCTGCACAACCCAGACGCGACTCCAGTATGGTGCATAGCAGAGATACCTGAGTGCTCTCCATTCTTGTTCCGACCAGTTTCTGCAGGATACTTCTGTTGCGTGGCTTAGAATCCGACAGGCTCTGTAATGGGTCTGTGGTAGTGCTCCGAGCCAGGATATTACAGCTTTTGCACGTCTGTAGATGAGAGCCATCGCTTGGACTTGTGCTTGCCGCTCGTCGAGATCGAGCTGGTTGATGCATATCGCATCGATGAAAAAGAGTCCCTGTTCTTTCCTGGCTTCCGCTGAACAAAGAAAGTCGAAGAGATTCTGTCGCACGACGAAATCCTGATTGCTGACTCGTATTGTTCGGACATCTTCGGACGAGGTGGCCGCTCCCCACGTATAAGACAGCGCTCTGTATGGCGTCGAAGAGAGATCCTCTAGCGGTATCGCAACAAGGTCGTATTGCCAGCTCTCCGATGCTGGGTCTTGCGATATCTTTAGGAGGCGGGTTTCTTTTGCTCCTTGGATGGCTGGGTGACGGAATCCCGACTTGCGGTTCAGGCGGTTGTCAATACTTTCGTCCATGGTCGTTGACATTCTTCCAGGTTGCTTCGTTACAGATTACTCACAGATTTCAACGACGGGTAATGCTGCATATAAGTTCGATAGAGCCCTCTTCAAATTGAGGCACTGCATGCTCGTGCCACTAGGCTGCAGTCCGTTGTGATTGGATCATTGTGCCTTAAGGCTTACACCTTGCTGCCCAGCCACGTCGACTGGAGGCCTAGTACATTTGTCTTTCTGCAATAAGCAATGCGGAGTGTGGTTGATCTGTAAGATGCAGCCTACAAAAATAGAAGTCAGCGACGCATCGGAACCTTCTCATCCAGATACTTGCTGGAACTGAGTGGGCTGTAAGAACTATGTATGTATGCTTGCTGATCATCCATGTTTTGGGTCTCTGGGAGCGAGGATGATGTGATGTTCAAACGACGGAAGTTCTATTTTTATTGCTTTTAACATCTAATATCCGCGTTACCAATTGCTTGCATATTGTCAGAGTCTCTTTTTCTGGGAGTCATTCTCGTTAGTGTCTGTATCGCAGCCCTTCCTCGTTCTCTTCGGCCGACTTTCTCAATACACTACCGGCTGCGAAAGAGGCGCAGTTTCCGTAGTACATTATGCGGCTACTTCAACATGGGGTAGCTTATAGAGTAGAGTGAAAACCACTTTCACGCTTGGATATCCTTGAGGATTGCACCATGTAAGAAAGAGCAGCATGTTACTATTTAAGCATATCCATCTCATCATTCCAGACCCTGACAACAAAGCTTGAACTGCAGATATCCCCACTCATTACCCAAGAAGGCTGTTGACAAAGGCAAGAGCTTGCTGGCCATACTCTTGACCATAACCCTGGTGAGTGTTTGCGTTGTTTCCGTTGCAGCAGTACGGGTCTGAAGCATCGCAGTACGACTTGATCTTGCTGCCGCTGGGGCAAACGAATCCAACGGGGCGGGGAGCAAACTGATACGAAGCATGACATTAGAACGTTGACGAACGACTCAATAAGACGACAAAGGTGGATACGTACACCCTGGGCCTGGCAAGTTCCAACGTTGTACGCCAATCCGTGGACGTAGCGAGGGTCGCCCATAAAGATGGCGGCTCGGATAGCGCTGACGGCGGCAGCTGGTAGAGGAACAGCAGTGTTGGGATAGCCCTCAGCCGGGTCACCTCCTCCACAAAGAGCGTCGTCCATGATTTGACCTCCCTGTGATAATGTGTAAGTCCGCATGCTTACCACATATCGTCGAAATCAATCAGAAGCTACAGACCTGTGAGTAGCCAACCAAGACGAGCTTGGTGCTAGGGCATTGATTATGGAAGTTGGTGACTGCCTGGACCACGGCATTAATGCCAGCAACTACGGAATTGGCGTAGCTGATACCGCCGCATGAGGCCTGACCACCACAGGCTGGGTAGTTAATGGCCTCGGAGGTTGTGCCTGGATGAGCGTTGACGATGAGATTCACAACTGTGGCAGAGGAGCCGTATCCTGGCGGTGCTGTGGTTTCTCGAGCTCCAAAGACGTGGATGCCAGGACACTGGCGCTTCTCGAGGTCCACTGGAGTGGCTGTTGCCAGGAGAGCCTGGCTTAGCAGGAAGGTGATGGTGCTCTTGATGGAAGGCATTTCAGACTTGAAGACGCACTCTTTTTTTGGTTTTGATGAAACGAGAATGTTGGTGATACGCTAAAAGTCTACGTGAGATAGAAGAGGAGTTTATATAACAAGTTGAACTCCTGTAAAAATTCACAACGAAGCATGTCGATACTTGACTCTATTCACGGGTTTCAAGTGTTCCTCTATCCTAACATCTCAGTAGATGGCACAACCTCAATTTGTTCTAGTTACCGTTGTATTCCTTTTCCCCAGACATCCATACATGGATGCTGTGGTTTAGGCTAAATCAACTGCCATTGCAGCCATGCATCCCGATTGGGCATTGGAGTGTCTATTAGCTATTGTATTTGCTCTGTCATTGAATTCCGTACAACCTGAAAATATGTAGATTGCCACGGGACTGACTTAATGGACGAAACAATTTCTTCAATTATCTGGGGCATAGCCTTTGGGCCGAGGAGCCGATAGCACGCAGGTTAGCGATTTACTCCATGTCATGATGGAAGCATGACAGCTCCCTTTCCGGCTCATTTTCTCATGCGCAGGTTAGAATTTGACATCTTTTCTTGCTGTGAGATGCATGATGCATGGTGATGGTCACCGGTTAAGTTGCGCAATAATACGGCATCTTAGGTATCGGCCTAGATCACTTCAACAGAGTGAATACAAGTCAGGCTCAAGAGCCAATGATCATACATCATATCTCGATCACGTCCATTGCTCATGCCAACATTTGTCTGCTCTAGCTACAATTTAGGTACTTTATGAATGCATATACTGCAGTCTAAAAGAGCTCACACCCAGAACCATTCTCTAAGTGCTATATCAAGTACAAGCATATCATGCCGCGGTAGCTGCACCGGCGTTCTGGATTTCCGATTCTTATGTTGCTATATGGTCTAACTACAGACTACGCATGCAAACCTTCGCACATTGACCCAAAAGTTGAGGGTTGCGAAGCAACTTTATCTCCACACTGGGGAAAGGTGAGGGTTGCCACGTTGCTACCTCCGCAAATTTTGTAAACATGGAGCAACGAAGCTTTGAGATACAATTGGCAGGCTAATTGTCAATGACTTAGCCGGACGTACCCCAGATCTGCATGTTCAATGGCGACCACCCGATGCCCGACTTAGGGTTTGAATGAGCCGGCATGAGTACATACTATTGCGTTGCTGTCAACATTTTTCGAGGCTGACGTGGATGATTTGATGTGAAACTGATGGTCAACTTGCTCTGGGCTTGCCATTGACCCGGCATTTGTTGAGTCCTTTTAGTTTAGGCAATATTCCTGTCATTGTGTTGACCGAATGTGAGAGCCGGGGTCCATGGCTTTGCTTAGCGGCCGTCTCTCGGGGCTTATTTAACTTGTAATCTTTGAACGCGAACGCAGTCAACAGACTCAAGTCAAACTGTAAGAATATTCCTGTCTTGTGTCTTGGGCACTTGTAGTTGCCGCAGTCATAATGCGACATTTGTTTTGCTGGCGTGATGAGATGCGTCAAGCCCAGTCATGTTACTTCAGGGGGCTCGAATAGGCCACGAGTCTACACATTTCTATAACATCCCTTGGGATACTGTCAGAGTATGCAGTCGGATGTTTCGAGCCAATATTACAAGGTGGCCTTTGAGAAACAGCTTGAACACTGTGGAGACTTTATAAGTGTAATGTTCTCCGCAGATCTCTCAACAGGACCCATGGCGCAACGGTAGCGCGTCAGATTCCAGCTAGGAATCTCCTGAAGGTTATCCGTTCGAATCGGGTTGGGTTCAATGCCCTTCATCTTCTTTTTTCTCTTTTTGCTCCAAATTGTTTCAATTTTTGTACAATCAATCTGCCTTGAAGTAACAGAGCATTTTCAGTTCGCCTTCCCTCTACCAAATGACATGTGCCCCGGCGTTACGTATCTCAATCCGGATTGACATGTTTTCTTGCTGCGGGCTTGGCGTGTGCTATGGGCATTCTAAGAGATTTGGGTTGTAAGTGGTCGCCTCTTCTTCTACGAAAGGGGTTCGACTTCGCGGTCGTCTAGAGCATAAGATAAATCTAATAGAAAATTGTTTCAGTTATTATAAACCATACTGAGCAATCACAAATTAGCTGTATTGATACTCGGATTATCAGCCACTCGCTCTGTCTCTCATTGTAGAGCTCTACGCATCTCAGCATAGGCTGCCCATTTGCTGTGAGCAATGTGAGCAGTCCTGTGAACCGTGAGAAAGTCCTCTGTCACCTTGGGCTCCCAGTATTTCTTCTCGACAATAACATATCCGGAGTCTGGCTGACGCAACCGAACGGCGCTACTGAGATTTCATCATGGATATAGGCTCTCCACGAAGCACCATACTCGCAGTCGCCATGAAGCAAAGAGGCCACTGCCCCTTTAAAGATGCGATACGAGATGAGAAGAGCAGCAGGATTATCTCCCCACTTCAGCTCACTGATTAATCATCTATCTGGCGAACTGCCATCTCCTCTTGGATTGAGTGAGATGTTGTTTTTCTCACTTTTCTTTCACTACCTAAGTCCTAAATGTTTGCTTCATCACACAATTTGGACAACAACCCAAGAGCTTATTCGAGCCAAATTTCCTTATAATTTGCTCAAGAAGCTACACATCTCCCGGATTTCGTACACAGTTGCTGTCAACGACAAAGATCCCGTTACCAAGCCGATTCCGATCGTGGTCATGGGGGCTGCAAATATGAATGGGGCTGGTTGGCAGATGGCGGCAGCTCCTCTGGCAGATAAGTTCAGCCCTCAAGTCAAAACTCAGACTCAGACTTTGGTGAAAACTTCAGGAAATTGGACAAAATGTACAATAAACGATCTTGAAGTATATTTACTTGTTTATTCAGGCATAATCTATGGATGTATGTAACTAGTTTGTCAAATGCCAGGTTGAATGAATGCCATCAGCTGAACCATCTCTCCACATATCAAACTACCCACCCTCCTTCGTCACAGGATCAGGCTTCATATTTACAGAGCATCAATCCACTCAAGAGCGGTGGTAGGCTCCAGTCGCTTCATGTAGTCGGGGTCGGTGTGGATGTTGCGGACAACTCCCTTGGAGTCAACAAGAAGAGTCGTGGGAACGGGCAGAGCGAAAGACTCATCGCCGTTGCGGCCCTTCAAGTCGATGGAGAAGGCCTCAAAGACAGGCTTGACGGACTCGGGCTGCTCCCAGCAGATGCCAAGCTGGCGGGCGAACTTGTTGCCAACATCGGACAGGACCTCAAACTTGAGCTCGTTCTTCTCCGTGGTGGTCAGAGAGGTGTTGGGCAGCTCGGGAGAAATGGCGACGACGGTGACGCCCTTGGCCTTGAACTGGTCCAGGTGCTGCTGCAGAGAGCGGAGGGCGAGGTTGCAGAAAGGGCACCAGTCGCCGCGGTAGAAGGTGATGAGGATGGGGCCCTTGGCGAGGAGCTCCTCGCTAGTGATGTCCTTGCCGAGGGCGTTGGGCAGCTTGAAGCTGGGGAGGGGGGTGCCGGGCTTGATGACGGCGCTGTGGTCAAAGGTTTTCTTGAGGTTGGCGATGGACTCGCCGATGGTGGCGGCGATGGGAGCAGGGGCGTTCTGCTTGACACCGTCGGCGAGGTTGTCAAGCTGAGCAGCGAGGGTGGCCATTTTGGATTGTTTTTTGGATTGTTTGATGAAGGTTATGAGGGATAAGAGTGAAGATATTGTAGTAGTTGTTTGAAGGTGCTTTGTTGGTTGGTTTGTTGTTGTGGTTGTGTGATGATATCGAAACAAAACTTCAACTCCATGGACATCTTCATCCCCTTATATACATCTTCAACTCCATTCTTTCACCCGGCAGACCAGCATCCGCATTTGTCAGGAGGATGCTCCGAAAGCCCCAACCCACGCATCCTGTCTCTGATCCTCCGGTGGATCGAGTAACAGATACATGTCATACACTCGCAGCTACGGAGTATAGTCGTGGAGGTTGATAACTCGCTTGCTGGATGACAATTCCAAAGAGGGACCCAGTTGCTGTGTAAGACGCTGTGTAAGACGCTGGACAAGCGCCGCAGCCCTATAGGTGGGCTCGTTCTTGGTAAAGAAACCAAGAGCGAGGCAAGTTTTTGCGACGTCTGCTGCTATTGAGGGGCCGACCCGCGGGCCATTCCAGTTGCAGACGGGCGTTGCCGTCCCGCACACATAAGCTGCCCAGGGGGTATTCTGGGGGTTTGGGGAGACGCAATGTCTGATTGGCTGGGAAACAGTTGTGAGAGCTGTTCCTACTGTTACTGAGACGGAAATCGTCAGGGAGGATTCACAATACGGACGGACGAGTTCGGTCGAACTGCTGAGAAATGCGATAACGCTCGAGATAGAACGCTCGAATTCGGGCTTCGAAATCCTTTCTCGTCTCACGCCACATCCCGCTCCAGTGCTTGCAAATCTTAGTCACCGATCCCACTTCAGCTCCGAGTCTATTATCATATCATCCCACATGTTTCTCCTCCAATCGCGTTGGATCAGGAGAAAGGCGAAACTACTCCGCAATGCGATCGGGTATTATACAAGTACTACTAGTATGCAGCTTCGGCGATGAGACTTTATTCCCCGACATGTGACATACAAAAGCTCGAGAAGTTCCAGTTGTTCAACGCCTCAGACTTGTGGCTTCTATCATGAAAACGAAACTAGCTGGAATCAACAGACACATGGAAACATCCCACCTCGAACCGAGCTGCCGTTCACACTTTCTACTGAAGCTTATGAATTAACTCGCTCGACAGCTTGGAGCTGGCACCAGAGATGAAGAACATCACAAATGATCAAGCCGCTTCCACCTTACAGATCATTAGGCACGTCTTGTTATCATTACCCACAACCACATCATCTTCCTGCATCAGCGGGAATTGGTAAGGTCGGCGAATCCAGTTCGGCCGTCCCAACTATCAGCCCAAATACACATGATTCCACATCCGGTGGGTAGTGTTGAGTACATGAGGATCAATCATAACCTCAGGAATGGCGCTGTTGATAAGTCTTGCGCAAGCAAATGAGACAGCTGCACTCTGTCCGCTTGGTGGAAAACCCGGGCTCAATTGGGCCGAAAACTCTACTAATGAATAGATCTGCCTTTGGGTTGCTCCGTACGAAGTCGACTGCATGTGCCGTATTTGATGGGACACAGCTTTTTCGATACGATGCTTTGACGGACGTACAGCTTTTGTTTGGCACGTTTGATCGCAGGCTGGCGCTGACAGCTTCGACGGCTCTAAGTGGAGAAATGAAAGGCAAAGAACGGAGAATACAGATAGAAACTTCTCTCTTCATTCCTGTGCATCTGGGCCTCTTTCTTCAGCTGGCACTGATACATCCAGATGCCAGCACGCTCAAGATATCATTGTCTCATATATACGACTACAGCCAGGTTGCTGGAGACATCCGCTGATGATGCGTCTTACTCCAGGGTTGGAGGTTGTGGGGCGCTGCCCAACTTACACCAAGAATTTCTACACGCGTCTCACAAAAGCCATATTACGCCCCAAAAATCGAACCAGAAAAAACACCATTGGCTCCCCATCATTGCACTGTTATCGTACCTAGTCTCAAACAACCACGCGTAACTGACAGCAACCCGCCGGTGCTCCAATGGACGAAAATAGTCCCGCCTTCAGGGCAGCGGCAGCAATTCTGCAGGATCGTGAGGCAACTCCTCATGACCGAGAGCCTCTCTCCGTCCGCGCCGCAGCGGTTCAGTTCAACACAGGCGTGTCAGCCATAAATCGGGCTCTTGCCTCTCTGACAACCAGAGGTCATGTTCCCTCCACTATTTCTTGGCGTGGCCCCCTGACAGAGGCTGAAGACTTGCTTCTGCTGGAATACGTGGAGTGCGTCCAGCGATCGGGATTCCCCATCACAAAATCCCAGCTCATGGCCGCAGCGCGAGACCTCCGGCGGCGTCGAGATCCTGCAGCGGGAGAGATGGATCGCGACTTCTACGGCTCTTGGCTTCTGGACCACCCCGAGGTTCGGATATACAGGGACGCCACGACACTCAGTATGTCGGGTGAAGTAAACCTTGTCTCCATAGTCATCAAGTTCTTTGAAGACTTGACAAAGATTGTGAGAGACTGCCGCATCGGCGCCTCGGAGTATTGGAGCCAGGATGAGTGCAGTATCAGAGCTGGCACCGTTCGCCAACAGGTGCAGGTCGCTGTTACGGAGTCCATCCGGTCACAAACCTCACGCGGCGTCGACCCAAGCAATCCAGAATCCACAGGTCTCTTGGTGACGGCCAACGGCGCCTGCGACACAATACCACCATGGCTGATATTCAAGACGTTTCCAGCCTCCTGGCCCGAGGAAGGCGAGGCGGTGGACGACAACGACGAGAGCATTCGCTTCGTCCAGTCCGCCACGGGCTTCTCAAACGCCGAAATCGCGTTGCAATGGCTTCACCACTTCAACATGTGGTCCTGGAAAAGGTCGGAAAGAGCCCAGCAGTCTGGGAAGACGCTCGAAGAATGGTTCGGCTGCGATGCGTGGCTCAGGAACCCCCAAACGCCTCATTCAGAACCGCACACAGCCACCCCAACCGTGCGGCTCCCACACGAGAAGATTTACCGTCTTCTCGTTATCGACAGCTCTCTGGGCCACACAAGCCTCGACTTCTTCGACTACTGCAGAAAATTTGACATTATAGTCATTGTCATCCCTTCCGACTTGCCGTATATTCTTCATCCTCTTGACGTTGGCGTCTTTCAGCCTCTCAACCTCGCACATGAGAAGTTGCAGAAATCTCTTGCCGGGGGCATCTTGGCGGGTTCACGTCAAGATTTCCTCAGAGCATTGGAGAAGATGTATGATCAAGGCTTTTCGGAAGAAAACATCTTATCTGGCTTCGACAAAACTGGAATTTACCCTCCCAAATCCTCGGCGGCTATCGTCAAGGTCTTTGATACTGAGCTGCGTCAAGGTCAGCCGTGAAGACGAACTGTCATTCTCATAGGCCTTTTCTGGCTTATTCGACATTTCATTGATCCTTGTTGTGATCCCGAGAACAAGCAAGGAGAGCAAATCATCTCACCACCTTTGGGGATGTGTTGCTAACAACGCCATATCTGGCACTATGATCTATATCTTGCGAGACGGGAGAAGTTGCTTCCTACTCCATCCGCGGTCAAGGCTCTCAGCTCAGATGCTTAGAAGTGGTATCCGCTGCTCAAATGGTCTTTATGTATCTCTATTGGTGGCAGAAGAACAACAATAGACGGAGAGCACCCAGGCACTGGTGGAAGATAAAGCGCAAGACAATTAGTTCCGCATATTTTCAACAGCTCAATGATCTTCTAGTAGCACCTAATCGTCGCTTTTAGCCGTAACCAGAGACGCTGGTTGTATGTGGTCAATGAAAGAATCCTCAGCCTTTGTAGCCCAGCATGTCATTGATCAAGGCAGATACGATGTTCTTCGGTAAAGTCCATATCAATGCTAATTCTTTGCTGATAATCACTCCTTCTTCTCGAATTGTCTGTGTAAATGGATGTTTCTGAATCCCTGAACTGCCAAAAGATTCTCCTTCTTCCACAATGCCATAATCTCCTCTTCTGTCATACCAATCTCGCTCCCCTTTTCTTGCACAAGATTGTGCAGCACCGACTTTTCCCTGTTACTCGCTGCTGCCATGACGACCGGCATGGTAGGGTCGATCTCGTCCCCTTTCTCTTGCAGCAGAATCTTCAATGCCGGAAACTCCTCGTTTTCTGCCGCTGCAATGGCAACTCTCTCGGTGATTTGGAATCTGTGCTTCCATTTCCCCAAGAGATAGATCAACACCGAACGTTCCTGGTTATCTGCTGCAGTGACGAGCACCTCCTCTGTGATCTGGATCTTGTCCTCATGCTTTTCTAGCAGGTACTGCAAGACCGACTCGTTGCTCCTCTTGGCTGCTATGATGACTATGTTCTCCCCGATGGGGACCTCGTCTTTCTCTCTGCCAAGTATGCACCATAACGCTGAATTGTCATCGCTCCTCACTGCGCTCATCAGTACTTCGCCGTTGACATGCGTTTTCTTGTGAGACAGCACAAGGTACGTTGCTTCCACGTTGCCCTTCCTTACCGCTCTTGCAAGCAGTTCTTCCAAGTGAGTAGCCTCATGTCTTTGTCGACTTGGCGGCTCATCGGCATCCATTGTGCTGTGAAATTTCTTCTCTGCTCTTACGATAAGTTTTTCCGAGATGGTAATCCCTCTGACGCTTGCATCTGCAATAACCACGGCGAAGTCTTCATCCTCCAATATGGGATAACGTCGAGCCATTTCTAGCAAGCCTGCTATTTTCTCAAAATTTCTCGCCTTGATAATGTGACCATGGCTTTGACACATTAATCCAAAGCTGACCACTTCCCTCATCAGGTCGCCACTTGCCTGTCGGGTACTTTTCATCGTCCAGAACATTTGCCAAAACTCCAACTCTGCTTCCCATAATCGTCCCATTCTCCCATATGACAGAGCGAGCTTGCTCATACACAGGAGTGTTCGTCGATCCGCTTGTCCACAGGTTGGTATGTAGGACTCCTTCATCTCTTGAAGCATGTTGACGACTGACTCCCCGTTGCTTCCCGCATCACTCATGATTAGGGCCACGTTCCATAAACGCGTCTTTTTGTCGAGATAGCCTTCGGATTCTGCTTCTTTATACTGAGACAATCGGTCCGTCATCCATGCATCATAGTCTCGATGTTGCGTCTCCTCCTGGGGACTATCCCAGTCCCATACAAGCAGAAAATCTTGTAAGAAAGAGCTGTCTGATTGCCCCAACTGTTCCACGTTCATCATTTCTGTCTCCGCGTTACTCGGAGGCGCAACTTGAACCATAATGATCGAGAAATAATCGCCGCATGGCCTGACGAGCATGGGGCTTGTAGCTCCGAGTAGCTGACAGAAAATGTCGCCGACTTCGACTGGCTTCACCGCGACTGGTACAGTCCACGTTGGCCCGATTGTGTCCTGTATTTTGATGCTGACATACTGCCTATCTCCACGGGAATCATCTTTGGCCATCTGAACAGACGAGACTATACCAATTACCCGGCCCTTGGCGAATACAGCGGCCGCCTGCTGATGAACCCATGACCGGACAAGCGCTCTTTCGCCGAGTATGAACTTAACAAGCCTTGCCATGAGCTGGTCCCAAGGGATGTTGTAATTGGGTATCAATCCAGACTCGCCGGGATTGTCAGAGCTCATACCCAGCAAAGCGAATATCTTGTCATGGCGCTCTGTAGCCTCATGGGCGTGGTACATATCGATCAATCCGCCTAGAGGTCGTATATCCAAGGATATGCCTCCCGTCGAGTTGACAATGTACTTTGGCCGAAATATGGAACCTCTCATCAGATACGTAACTGAACGGATGTGACTCGGAATGTCTCCGTATGAGAGCAGTGAAGGGAGGCCCAAGCAGAAGGCGTATCCATCAACCCTTATAGAGCCACACATCATAACAATGTGTTGAGCGGCAGCAACCTCTTGAAGCACCTAGCAAAGATGTCAGTAAACATAGTTTACTAATTTCTCGAAATGCGTAATGGATGCGCTACCCATATTCGACGAAACCACGGCCGTTGGACGAGGGCAAGAACTGCCTGCCGGTCCTCGTCCGTCACCAACGGCTTTTGCTGCTCTTCATCTGCAGCCATGCGTATCTGCTTTAGGGCTCGATCGCTCTCGTCTGCGGCTTCGCCGAGCCATACGACTACACGGCTCGCTTTGGAATAAATCTCTGCCATGTACTGAATTTGTTCTCCTCGCTCCTCGATGTTGGTTTGGTCAATGCAGACAGCGTCTATCCATATGATGCGCTCGATCATCCTATTGCGAAGACGCAAAAGGACCTCGTGTAAGTTTGCCGTGATGGGCATGGGCTTCTCGTCGATATACAGAGTATGAGGCTTCTCCGGGCTCCCCCATACATAGGACAGGGCCTCGTACATGTGCGGTCCCTCTCCCAGTTGCGGCATGGGATATTCAAAGAGCTGAGAACGGAGGGGGGCATCTTCGTTCCAGTCTGGGAGCAAGCGGAGCAAGCGAATGTGCCGATGGCCTTGAAGTGGTGAATAGATGTACATGTTCTCCGGGCCCTCGCCAGAGGCCACTGACATCTTTTCGATCTGTCTTGATACGTTTGAACAGCTTGGTGAAACAATTGTTCAAAAAAGAACGAGGAATCTAGACTGAGCAGAAGCTTTATGTGATCCTTCGCTTGCCAAGCATCTATTTTTGTCGCACACTGCCATTGGGCACCTGCAACGTTCCCCTCGTCTGTAAGCCTTAGGGTGGAAAATAGGCAACAAGGCTCTTGCAGTGATTGACAAATTAATGCCCGAATAAGCGGTCTTGGGCGGTGAGTATCCAATAAGATTCACAGACTATCATGCATAATCGCAACGAGTAATCAAAATCCGCGTCCGGAATGATACAGGGTTTGGCTTCAATGAGCTCCAGGACCAGTAGGAGGTTTCTCAAGCTCATGGCCAAGCCCGCTGGTTCGGACACTCATGACGGCCGAGACTCTTACAGCTCAGGAACAAAGAAACACGCTCAAGGTTCCAAAACAGGAGATTGCAATTATTGGAATGCCATGTTCTCTAGGGCAGGAAAGGGGGTAGACAATAGTCAACGGGTTCAAAGCCTGAGAACAGCGACCCCCCATCACCCCATCCTGAACACTTGCAATTGAACAAAGAAAGTCATCAATCACTGTCCTTCCCAGTAATTGAGGTTTCACAGAGAAGACTGAGTCATGAGGAAGACCGAGTCATGGTAGAACTATGCCAGCGGAGGGCAAGTCGTTATGTACCGTCTATGCAGCGCCTCCTATCACATACGACCATAGGTAGTGGAAAACTCGGGGTCCCGTCCGCTCCCCCATAGATAAGCCACTAACCGGCAGATTAGTAGTTGGGTGGGTGACCACCAGCGAACACCGGCTGTTGTATGTTTTTTGCCTTTTTTTGACTGAAGCTGTCATGATGCTGTCGTTATAATCAGAGACAGAGGCACTGTCTATCACATACGACCATATCCATTAGAATATACGGGATCCCGTCCGCTCTCCCATAGTCAAGCTAATGAGAGGCAGATTAGTAGTCAGGTGGGTGACCACTGGCGAACACCGGCTGTTGTATGTTTTTTTTGCCTTTTTTCTTCTTTGTCCTTACTCTTCTTTTTGTTCTTCGGCTCACTTGATTCAACTCATAGAGGAGTCCCAGTGTCAAGCCCGCTAAGGAAGTATTTCAACTAGTTTCAAAGCTTCAAGGCACTACAGAAGAGATCCGAATCTCAGGTGGCAGTTCAGACAACGGGAAACGCTCTCCATAGTCACAGGCTCTATAAACGGTACAGGTCTTTTGACAACAACAAAATTCAAGGTATACTATAGCCTTATAGCTTGTATTGCTCTAAGGAAGAGCTTATGTCCAATCAGATACAGCAACTGCCTAACTGTTACAGTTGATAATGCTGTATCATGTCCGGTTGAGTTCAACGCTTCAGGCCAATGTACACTGACTCAACCTGAGTGGTCAGATTCCAAGTCAGACGCCCTGCCTGCGATGTATGTGTCGATAACACTTGACCCGTCAATGGTGACTTCTGTGATCAATCTTCTATGTTGGCTCATGTTGACAACTGTAGCGTTGGAAGCATCCAGCCAAGATTTTTGCGTTGACGCCCTCGTATCAGTAAAGACAATGCTGCTCCAGTTCGCAAGAGGCGTCAAATGGCCTGAAGAGGCGGGCCCCATTATATAATTCTCGACGATCCATTCTGCATTCTGTTGTCCAAGAGCATGAGCAGAGGTAAGGTACTTGGAAACGAGCTGGCCCGTGGAGACGTTTTCGAGTATTGCGAAGCCGGATGTGCTCGAGGTTGCGCTGACGGTGGCCTTGACGACGTCGCCTGGAGAGATGGAAAGGTGCTCTGGGAAGGTAGATGAGTGATCCGGCCACCACTCGTACCAGGGCTCATAGTACACTTGGCCATTCGCAATGGTCAAGTCAACCCCGGTCTGTAAGATAGCATTCTGGGACGTGTCGCCATCGATGCCGACCCAGACAGCTACGGTGTAAAAGTCTTCGTTAGGACTGCCGGTGGGAATGCTTGGCTTGGGAATAACGAAGCTGGCTGACACGCTGTTGAACAGCTCGTTTTCTGGGGGCGAATGAATGACGGCTCCAGACCAGACAGTGCTATAATTGACTCGACCAGCATGGTATTCTTCCTCTGAGCAGTTATGGTGATTGGACCTGGAGAAGTGTGATATGGGTCCGTGAATGATGTCCTGCTTGAACATGCTGGGGGTTGCATAGACATGACTGGCGAGCAGTGAGTAGGTGACGGCGGAGATCTTCATCTTGAAGGCTGAGATCAGTGGTGTCTGACTCTTCGACTGCTGAGAAGTTGGGTCCTGGACTAGAAGCTTGGCCTGGAATGAAATGTTGTCGTAGGAGGAATCTTGCACCCAGAACGAAGTGGGAGATTCGCCTACTTTTGTAGACATCACAGACTGGTTCTTCAATGTCAAGCGCATGTCCACAGGTTTATTGCTAGACTTTATCATTGATTGCTTTGCGCAAGTGTGAAACCTTCTTAAAGCAAATAGCAAAACAGAAAAAAATGCAATCAATTAATATTAGGTGTAAAGTCTGTTCAGTGGCTGTGTCAATCGTTCATTGAACAAGTACAACGTGTGTTCCACAGCTGTTTTGCAAGTCGATGTTTGCGAATCACCTTATAAGGCATCTTGAACAGATCGTTTCAACTGCTGTAGGTCAGTATCTCACAGTCTCCGTCCGTACGTGGATGTACATGTTCAAGCTGGAATCGAAAGCATGACAATCACAGCCAAAAAGGTCAGGCATGCATCGATCATGTCTGTGAATCCCAGAGAGTTTCTTTTTATCTGTGTCTTTCTGTTCTTGTCTTATTTATTGGCTCAAGTTCCACTGCAAACCCGTCGCATAATATGCGTCATTGAACGACTATCTTCGTGCCCTGGCTTAAGCTTACTTTTGCATTCTTACACCTCGTAAACTCAAGGCTTGAGCAAGTACAATGCGAGAATTCTTCCAAAGATCATACGTAGCTTGATTAAATTGATAATATGTACATCTTCTGGCTACATCTCATTACAACCCGCCGCCAACTGAACCCGCGCATCTCCTCCATCTTAATCAGTGTTGCACTGGACGTACTCAATGACGTCCTTGGACTCGAGGATGATGATGCCAGGGCCGTTGACGTGGCCAACACCCAGGCCACGGCTCTGGAAATCCAAGAATGCGCAGCTGGCACCAAGGTAGTGGCCGGGCACAGCAGGGTTCGAGGGAGGGTGGACAAAGACGTTGTCGACAATGCCGCCGCTGTCTAATATCAAGGGTTAGACTGTGTTTTTGAAGACTTTGGAAGGCGGGATAATACGTACTAAGAGGCACCTGGGAGATGCTGTTAGCAACTGACGTTTGTGCGGACTGAGAGCCGTTGGTGTAGGTGAAGATGATGCCAATCTCGCCGGCAGGAATGTCGCCGGCAGAGATCTGGACCGAGGGAGCAGCAGCAACGAGGCTGGCAAGGCCGGCGAGGATGACGGAGGCACGCATGATGACGGTTGTTTGGCAGCTAAAGAGCGTCTTGGCTAAAATTGCGTGTGTAGTTTGAAGAATGTAGGAGCTGCTATTTTTCTTTCTTCCAGAAGCAATTACCCAAGCTGCTAAAAGGAGTCTTTTATATAGATGCTTTAACGTCAAGGTGGAGCGCCTCCTGGCCTTCGTATTTCGCCAATATCCCTGCGCCGTTTCCACGCCCGTATAAGCAGTGATGTGCCTCTCTCTCTCTATACGAGTAAGGCCATGCCAATTTTGAGCGAAAGCAGCCCCTGTCCATCAGACGCCGAGCCTCCACAAAACGTTCCCCCACAATTGCACACAGGCGCTGAAGAGGCCTGAGCTGGACTTCGTTTCTTCATCGTACTCCGTATCGGCAACTTGTGTGAAGCGAAACCAGATATTCGAGATGCTGTAGAAGCGGTGTGGTGCTCCCTTTCTTGGCTCTTTTATCACTCAATTGGATCAAGGAATGTTTACTTTGGCAGTTTTGAGAACATTTCTGCATTATTGGCCCACATGGTTTGAAGACGGCTATTATTTAAGGGGTCAGTCCACGCAGAACCGAGTTACTTGTAGCTCTGTGCCAGGGGCTTGTCAACTACTGGACCTGTTCCCCTATTGTTCCTTGCATGGAGTATGCGAATCCCGTACGATACTGCATTGAGAACTCAGAACGCAATCAAGCTTAGTAGTTAGTGAACAGCGCTGCAACTGGAGGCTCTCTTAAAGTCCTGCGACTTTGACACAATCCGGAAGAAAGAGAAAAACTTGGCGAGGGAATGTCAGTGGTGATGCAGCACATAGGAGTTACTGTAAGTTCACCGCAAGTCTTCCATTCTCAATTTGAAGCATGCTGCGTTGCCCGCTGTTGTCGTCGTAGCACATTGGTCACTCTCACGGCTTTTAGCACCTTCGATTGAGAACAATGACATAGAGGAGCCACCACTCATCAAAAGTCCTTTTATACGCGGCTCGGGCCGGACCCGTCTAGCAAGATGATGATATGTATGTATGTCTAAATATGATGAGGCTATCATGGGCTGTATGGGGAATTGGTGGAGCGCCCTCCGCATAATCCGGCTTGGAGCCCGTGATCAGATCCAGCGACGCAACGGCCATGGCCCTGGCTCAGAAACCCCGGAAAGTCTTACTTACAGTAGTGGAAAGCAATAGGAACTCTTTGAGAGTATGCCCAATCACGCCGATAAAGCTCCCAGTGTTACTTGAAGTTTCGGAGACCGTATGTATGTGCCCCCTTGCTCAAGTCTACAACACCTCGTATTCATCCCGCCAAGCTGAAGAGTTAAGGTTCTTTTGTTACGAGATCCGCAAACTGAGATCATGTCATACACTCTCATTCGATTTCAAGATCTAGAAGGCAAGCTGTCTCATCCTTGAAGAGACAAGGTTAAGTTGTCACCCGGAGGACACAAATGCCTCTTCACCAAATCTTCGCGACAACTCCGTGAGATGTTTCCACCCCTGACTCGGCAGTTGACCTATGGAAACAAAGATGGGCAAGGACTTCGTCTTCACTGTTCAATTTTAAGGGGTCGGTTTTCCTTGAGGTCATATTAATGCAAGTGGAGAGTCGCTCAGCTCGGCCGCTGAAGTAGTGCTTCGACGCATACATCTGTCCTCGCATCTCGATCAAAGAATCCTTGTGGAAAGCCAAATGTTTCCAATGTAAATAGAAGACCCAACGCCGTATCGCGGAGCAATCAGCAGTATGTGTGGCTATGACATTTCACTGCCGTTGAGATTTTGCCTCTTCAACAGAACACACTGGAGATGGGGCACCTATCTATCACTTAGACTGATGTGATGCCGATCATCAACTCAGCACAAATTGGTGCGTTTCGCACGAAAGCCAATGCCAGTTCATCGTGTTTCCAAATCTGGTATGTGCCTCTCCGTGTGGCGTCAAGCTGCCGCACATGCCAAGAGCGGGATGGCTTCAGGCCACATGCAAGGAAGATAATGGCATGTGATGAAGGTTGGAGAAATGCTATACCCGTCTCTACTCCCGGATGATGCGCAAATCTAATTCCATCTAAATGCAGTTGTCGTATTCTGATAAGAGTTGGTCAAAGACGGTGGCATCTCCCTATGACGACCGATGAGCGAAGAATGAGGGGGGCAGGTAGTACTATGGACCTCGCTGTTGACGATATGGATCACGCAGGACAGTTGGATGGCACTCAGCCTGAACTATAAATTACAGCCATCGAGATTGTTCATTCAGGTAGATAACAAAATCCGCCACCTTTAACGGCTGCTATAGAAGGCCTTCGGTAGCCTCCTGAACGACTGGCGGCTGAGGCATCAAGGACTCGGGATGATGCCACATCGCCAGCTTATGCCATCACCCGATTCAATGCATTTAATCCGCGTCATGTCTCACCTTGTCTGTCTAAAATGCCAGCATTTCTCTGCTGTTTTGACGCTAGACGCTGCTCTAAAAGATGAAAAGCCTCAGCTCGTCAGCATGATGTGACTCGAGAATTGGCCACCGCTACCCAAGCCTCTCCGTTCCAAAGACTACTTCAAGGCATTGCCTGATATTTAAGAGGTGTAATTGATCGTCACTCCACTACAGATAAAACCCTCGGTAATGTCAGACTACGTCCCAATCACCCCGAAGCCTGCTCAAGACTCCCACGACGCAGGCTCGGCCTCCACGGATGGCATCGACCACAAGCGACGCCGAGTTGGTGTCTCTATAGCTTGTAACGACTGCCGCCGCAAGAAGGTCCGGGTAGGTCCCCTGATCGCTTCGCCATTGATAAAAGTCGCATAGATTAATATGCCCAGTGTGACGGCCGAAGACCGGTGTGTTCAGGATGTGAGAATACGCAGATCAAGTGTGTATACAGGGATGACTCTGGTCTATCAGATGAGTCCCAATCGCTACTGCTCGAGGTCTTTCGTACCCTGAATTCTCTTCCCGACGACCAGGTCCTAGAAAGGGTGCGAAGCCTGAAGAGAGAGATTGATCCCTCGGCCATCCTTTCCAATCTGAGAGGCCGAGCCATCACTCTGCCCCATGCGAATTCATCCGGCGAGTCGGCGATGATGAGCGACGTTTTCCAAACGATGGAACTAGGACCTCAATTTCCAAATGCATATCCTACAATACCAGTTCTGGACCTCGAAACTCTTGGAGATGCCACATACCAGCAGTTGGTTCAGGCGACGAAAAGAGACTCGGACACGGGGCATGCGGGAGGACACGCACGACCCCTTTGCGATAGCCGTCTCGCCAACTTGAACATCAGCGACTGGACCAACGTGTCAGTGAACAACAGTTATGCGGCTCGTGCCATTTCTCTCTACCTCGAGACGGATCATCCCTTGCTCGGATTCTTTGAACCAAACGGGTTTGTCTCTGATCTCGCTACCGGCAAGACGGACTATTGCTCCCGGATGCTTGTTAATGCGCTTCTGTACTGGGCATGCGTAAGTCCTCGTTCGGTCCCTAGCCTTAAAGTTGCCCTGAGGATCTAACACGAGAAATAGCAGCTGTATTGTGCGCAAGACCCAGAGAGCGGCTCCTTGGCACTCAGTTTCTGCTCCGAGGCAGAATCACTCTGGGAAACCGAGCGCAACAATGACTCGGTAATGAACTTGGCAGCCGTCCAATTCATGACATTGGGTTACTTGGGCCAGGGAAGGGATCATGCCGTCCTGGCCTATCTCAACGAGGCTTCTCAAATGGCTGTACACATGGGCCTCTTTGGAGTTGCGGGTAATTACAAGCAACAAGAGATCAGTAGCTTGCATGAGCCAGCAAGGAGCGCCCAGTTATACGCGGCCTGGGGGTCGTTTAACTGGATAACGTGGGTTCCCCCTATTCTCATAGTCATGCCGCCCTGCACGTGGAAAAGATCGGAGCTTACCTCTTCTTAACAGCCACATGTCCCTGTTCTATCGCCAGCCCGGCCTACAGTGCCCCAAGATCCCGCCCAGGTTACCCATTCCGGGAAATCCAGAGATACACCAACCACTATCCGACAACCCAGGCACCTCAGAGACTGACCCCGACCCCCCGTATATGGGAGGTGTCTTTCCTTATCTCTGTCAATTCTGGTCCATACTACATGAACTAGCTTTGCTGTATAGAAGCAAAGGGCCGCTCAAAGGCGATCGCAGGACTCTTTGCTTCGCAGAATTCAAGTTCCGGGAGCTACTGGCCTGGAGTAACCGCCTACCTTCGAGACTATCTCGAAACGACAAAAGCCCGCACTATGTGCAAATCTTGCAGTATGAGCCCTGAGTTCTGTTGTTGCTGTGTATCCTTCTTTGTTCTTATCCGGGCTCTAATTGTATCTATAGCATATGGCTCCACGCCGCTATCCTCGACTTGTTCAGGTTCTCAATGACCAGTGACCTGAAGAGCCTGCATCTGAGAACCTTCACAAGCCCTTACAGCACACCAGAGACTGTGTGCATTGCGTCAGCTCGCCAGCTGAAACAGCTCGTCATCAACTACAGGCTCAACTTCACCTCTTCTTCCTACACCATCCTCTGGCACACTGCCTTGACATACCTCGCCAACGCCATCCTGCAGAACCCCAAGGAGGAGAACTGGTTCTTCTACTTCCTGCTCTGCGTCTACGGCTACGAACGACTGCGCCCTTGCTGGCGCGTCACACAAGCCATCTCAACGGCGCTGATATCGATGGCGCTGCGCAAAGGCGACATTACAAGCCCGACTGCACGTCAGCTATTGAGCGACATCAGCGACAACAAAAGCTATCAACTGGACGGCGACGTCAGGGCGACGTTCATGATGGACCTGGAGCTGGCGACGTCGGATCCTGAATCTGCGAGCGTGGAAAGGATGGCTCAGGACTTTGACCAGAACCTTTTGCTTCAACAGTACACAAACATCTTTGACAGGTGAGCATGAAGCATCTTCCAGGAGTGTTCTTTACTTGTGAGCTCTTGCTGACATCGTACACACTCAAAGGCAAAGGGCGGATCTCTCCAACAGAGGATGACGTGGACATCGGGGCAAATCATTGTACTGTAAGTAGCACAGGCATGGACAACGATTGGATGCCTCTGAAGTAGTCACAATATACTTCGTGTAATGTCACCGTGCCGCCCGAAGGATTGGTTGGATGCCTAGAACTCCATTAGGCATCCATGTGCAAGGTCCAACTGTCGGGCTGCCCCGTGCGCTTTTGCTCCAGACAAAGACAGCCAGGAAAGTCGCCCTACTATCATCGCATCGTACATTGCCAGCATGAATAACAGTGTGGACGAAGCGGCAATGCAGAAATCCACCTCCCAAGATGAATCGGTACTGGACAACTCTATCAAAGATGAATACCAGGTCCTTCAAACACCTGCTTCGCCAGAGAGTGTGAGCGAAACCGATTGGACAATGTTCGACAAAGAGCCGCCAAAGCCGGACAGCACAAATCCAAACCAGGCTGCCATCGAAAGCATGCCTCTGGGAGATATCCAACAGCACGAGGAGCCAGAGAAGCCTATGCCTCCTCCATCTTACACTGGTTCGGTGCTAAATGATTACGGGATGCAGCTCAGACTCCTTGAGGCCCAGGCCAAAAAGCGTCTGGAAATGGCTCGAGAGGAACAAGCCAAGCTTGGCATCCCCTCATCACAGACACAAACACCAATGAAGGGTCCTCCTGAGTCAAGTTTCTCAGCCTTGATGAGCACCATCAATGGAAATCCCACTATCGCCATCAGCAACAGGATGGGCACCATGCCACCAAACCAGCCAGATTCAATGGTGTCTATGCTTCAAGCACAGATCACGGTACTATCTAACGAGAACCAACTTCTCCGGCTGCAGTTACGAGACGCAAAGCGTGGCAACTTTGCGATATTCCACTGCATTACCGAGGAAGAGGGTGAGAAGGTCTACCTTGGGCGACCGCGTTGGGCCAGATGCGGCGAGAGTTTTGTACTCAAGGCGAGATTCCCTGTGCAATATCCTGAGGCATACGGTCTTTACAAATGTCTCCATTTCGTGGTTTACAAGACCTACTCAGCCAATGTACGCGCGCAACCCAGTAAGCCTTTGGGGCGGAATATCGGAAGCAGGATGCCAGAGCCTCATCCCGATAGCGAAATCATCAAGCTTGTCTCGCAGGACTTGATGAGAGCCATGGAAAAGGTTGCGAACACAGATGAAGCCACACAGGGGATGATTCCCGGCCTCGTTTGTGACAAAGAGCTTCGTGCACCGCATCTATGGTGGTACCATTATCGCAACCGTGTGAACATGCTTGATGGTTTGACGCCTTCACAGGCAGATGCCATGCAAAGTCTGTTGCAGTGGTTGGATGAAGTCTACGGTACATCCCACAATCGAGTTGACGACCAATTCAAGCGTGGAGTGGTCTCTGCGTCTTCTATGGGTTACTTGATCCATCCTGGAGATGTTTTGGTGTACAGGAGTGAAGACAGTTTTGAAGCCTGTCTAGCAACGTCCTGGTTACAACAAGATGCAACAGGGGTCAGTACTGAAAGACCAAGCGAGGTTCCTCCACGTCCATTCCACAAAGAGTCTGAACGCAGATGGAAAGTGGAAGCGTGGTCATACAGGTACACTGGCGAATTCTATCAAACCATAAAGAGACTCAGCATACAACTGGACGCGAAATCGACTCACGATGCTGAAATATCCATCACTGACTTGGACGTGTTTCCCCTCCGGTTCGCCTCGCAAGAGGTGCGAGACTTGCTTGAACGACGAGGCAAAACCTTTTGGGACTGTCGCAATGGCAAATATGTCTCTTGCAGCACAAAGGACACGAACTACGCCGTGAGTACCTCACAACGTTGGTTATACCATTTGACGAATGGCACTGCTAACAGATGCTCATAGCCGGAGCAGCGCTACATGATCGACTGTCGAACATATGATAATATAAGCCAAACGTACGGGTTGAGCGGAAATGTAGCGCACAATGAAGAGGTTTTAAAGGTCATGAGGGTGACTCCGGCATTCATCGACCAGGAAGATGCTCCGTCTGAGCCAGACCTGTATCTTTTCCCTCGTACTGTCATGGGCTACGACCTTGAACGGAAAAGATGGGGTATGTGCCGTCAAGTTACGCAAGACATTGATAACGGACTGACAAGGTGCAACGCAGAGGATGTCGACGTCGACCGCATTCGAGACATAGCCTGGAACAAGAACGCATTCAGCCATCGCGGCACAGAGTTCGAGACCAGAGAGCTAACACAGGCCATCATCGCGAGTCACATTGCTTCACAGACAGCGACCGGCATGCCACAGAGCAAAGACAATGGCCTCGTCATGCTTCTGCAAGGAGCTACCGGAACGGGGAAGACATTCACAGTCGAGAGAGCTGCCGAAGTTTTTGAAAGGCCCCTCTACATTATGAGTTGCAGCGACATTTGCAAGCTCCGATATTTAGAGGACAGTCTGAAAGAAGTCTTTAGCCTTGCAAAAGCCTGGGGTTGCATAGTTCTGTTGGCCGAGGCAGAAGCGCTTCTCGAATGGCGCACTTTCAATGACACGGCCCAGGAAGCTCGTGTCTCGGCCTTCTCACATGCTCTCAAAGGCTATGACGGGATTCTTATCCTAGAGTCAAATCACCTCGGTGAACTTGACGAAGCTCTCAAGCCACTCATTCAGCTCGTCTTGCACTATGAGCCTCTAACGCAACCGCAGCGGGCACACGTCTGGCGCGACCTGTTTAGCAATCTCAAGTTGCTGTGCGGGAACGAAATTGACTTTGACAATATTGCTGGCTACGTTGATGAGCTGGCCAAGAGAGAAATGAATGGACACCAGATGCAAAGCGTTATTACTAGGGCTCGGCAGTTGGCGCAGTTCCAGAAGAGCAAAATGAGTGCTGGCCACCTGCAATCGGTTGTCAAGTTGATACATTTCCCCTAGTATAGTATGGTCGGTCAACTCACATAGGAGACGAAGCATTAAAGTGCGTTTCTATGCCTAGACGTTGTCATGCTCCGTATTTCTCATTGTAGCAGAATGAGCCCCCAACCCCCTTCCTCCACCAGTCTCATCTCCCAGCCGAGCGTCGCACACTCATATACACACTAAGAACAGTGATGTATACATATTACCATCTTCCTTTATCTGAGGAGCATTCGCAATATTTGCATCAACGCCCAGTCAGATCAGCCAGGGGCCGTATACTAACACAAACCGCGGTGTAAGGAAACATGGGCAGGTGGGAGAAGGGGGTTGTACGAAGGGGCTCTCGCATCGGGGAGTTTGCTGCAGACGAGGATGAACCACTCTAGACGGTCCCAAGTCAACATTGCGAATACAGTTCGTGCTCGCAGCACCTTTCAAAGCAGAGTCGATGCATCCACGATAACGTGGCAGCACTCAATCCAGTCGCCGTTGGCAGTCGGGTGTAAGACGAGGCGGGGGATTTTGCTGTGGATATCCCATCCCTGCCCCCCTGCTGCATTAGGATCTCTTGACCAACACACAGTAGGCTGCGGATATAGAAACAATCATTGAAGCTAGATCCTGTCGGCCAGGAAGCACCAGGAGAGGCAATTCGGCCGTGACGGAACCTGGACCAACGACTACATAAGGCTGGCCTTGTGTTGCCCTAGACTCCAAACTGCTTCCCCCTGGTTTCTGCCGCCTGGGCAAGTACAGAGCATTCCGAAAGCGCGTACGTATTCATCTGCCCTTTGATCTCCCTGAGCCCGAAAGTACACGACAGACAAGAAGTCGCAGCCATTCTACCCCCGAGAATCAGCTCATACTACCACACGATGCAGCCTCCGTTGCCTTCTGCGACGCCAAGCTGGCACAATGACACTTACGCCGCCATATCCCCCAAGCGGCCGGAGCTCAGTGCCTCCGGGAAGGCGGTGGTCATTACCGGCGCTGTGAGTTTCCACGTAGCTGCTCCGTTCGATCAATTTTCATGCTCTGGTGGATTCGCACTCAAGGGAATCTACCCGCAAGCGAGAAGTGGGCGAGTTGAAAGAAAGAGTCGGGTTGCTCTGATAGGTGGAGAGACGGAGATCCCTTCTCTCCTCCGCGTTCCCTGCAAAATTGATTGAGCGAAGTGTATTTGGTTCCATGATCTGACGTCTTCAAAAGGGCAGCGGCATTGGTAGAGAGACGGCTATTGCATTTGCAACCGCGGGAGCGGCTCGCATCGCCCTCCTGGGACGAACCGAAGCCTCGCTAAGGCAAACGGCTGCCGCACTGCCATCCACCGTCTCGGTATCCGTCTACGTTGTCGACGTTACAAGCGAAGAGTCTCTCATCCAGGTGGCCGCCGCCATTGGCACGTGGGACGTGCTCATCCTCGGGGCCGGCCACGTCGCCGTGCCCTCGAGCATTGCGGCCTCCAGCTTTGCAGAGTTCTGGCAGTCATTCGAGGTGAGTCCATACTTCTCCCATCAAATCATAGCATGATATGATATTATATTTCCATTATAGTTCCTCTACCCCTCTCCCAAACCGTACCACCGAACCAGGGGTAATGCATCTAAGTGAATACCTACTGACTAGAATCGGCCGCTTGGCCCCTCTCAACATAGACCAACGCCAAAGGCACCTATGCATCACTGCATGCCTTCCTTCCCACGGCCAATGCTTCTCATGCAGCGGTCCTTGCAGTAACCACAGGCACCACTGCCCTCCCAGCGACCATGGTGCCGGGACTATCGGCCTACATGTCGTCGAAGCTCGCCCAGACGAAGCTGATCGAGTTCCTGGCCGCCGAACAACCTAACCTCTTTGCTGCAACCGTCCACCCGGGCATGGTTGAGACTGAAGTCTTCATCAAGAGCGGCGCAAAGGCCGAGAGTCTTCCCATGGACAAAGGTATGTTTCTCAGTTCTTCTTCTTTTCAAGGTTGCGTGTGGCTTACATGTCAAATGCTTTCAGTTCAACTTCCTGCGCACTTCATGGTCTGGCTGGCGAGTCCTGAGGCAGCTTTTCTCAACGGCCGCTCCGTTTGGGCCAATTGGGACGTGAACGAGCTCAAAGCAAAAACCGATGCTATCAAACAGAGCCAGCTGTATACCGCCGGCATCAATGGCTGGCCTTTCACTCCATAGATGAAGTCAAGATATGATGTTGAGCAGCATTTTACATACATTTCTTTCGAAACTCTTCGAAATGTTATTTCACAGCTACCGAATGTAATATACTTATGCGATTTTCTTGTGACGAAGCAGCCATCTTCAACGGCGAGTGGAGCGAGCGGCTTGCGGTGGACTGATCGACGACCAGGGTTTTCCCAGTTCCCCATCATCGACAGGGTCTCAGGACAGGGGTCATCCTTCAGTCATTCTCCACACATGAGCGAGCATATCAGCTTGCAGAAGCAGTTCAGGTGAGTAGCTATATCCGTAGGAATGCAACCGCAGTTGTACCTCGTAAGCCAACTATTTGAACTCGGACCCAAAACCTCGTTGCCAATTCTGCAATCTCCGTCAGGAGATACTTCTCAAAGGTCGTATCCAGAGAAAAAAGTTCGATGTAAGCTCAAAGATCCCCCCGGAATGCAAGCTACTACATGTACCTTATCACTCCCATCCCTTCCGCATTCGCATCGTCAGCCACTACCGCCACGTCCCCCTTTTGTGCAAGCCAACTTGTTAGAGACCAATAGCAGGGACCCCGTTGACGCCATCCTGTCAAGCCTGTCATCCCACAGCCTCGACAGGGGTTGTATTTCCGGCTGCGCATCTAGCGAAGCAGAAACGTGCTCTTTTGGTTCGTCTGTTGTGCTGCTGTTGGTTGTTCTTTTGCATCAAACTGCCAGTTGGTAAGCAACGTCAATATGGGACGCAATCCCTGTTCCCAACAGCATCATGACAGAAGGATTTCGAAGGAACTCAAAATGTCGTGAGCGGACTTCACCCTGTGATAAATCCGAGGAAGCGTAGAAGGTATTTGTCAACATCACAGAGGATGAATATCTCGTGAAGCTCGGTGGTTGTTGGCGGTCATCTTTTAGCAATCGTCGAATCCTTCCGGCGTCTCCTCACTTATAGCCTATCCATGATGCGCTTTCACTCAATTTCAACACCTAATCTTGATCGAACTTCTTGTACACTACCAGTCTCATCATCATGACCAGTTACGACTACATCATCGTCGGCGGCGGAACCGCAGGCTTGGTCCTTGCGGCACGCCTGACTGAAGACTCCTCGAAGCGCGTCCTTGTCTTGGAGGCGGGCGATGATTTGTCTGGGGATACCCGTCTGGCAGTGCCGGCAATGTGGCCAACGCTGCTGAATACAGACGCAGACTGGAAGTTCAAGACAGTCCCTCAGGTACGTTGGCAAGTGGGTGACATATCATCACCAGACAAATAATCCATCTTCATGGGACCTCCTGCTCATCAAAGGCTCAACCCAGCCCGGCCTCAACAACCGCACCATCTCCTTCCCCCAGGGCAAAGTCCTCGGCGGCTCCAGCGCCATCAACGGCCTGTCCTTTACGCACTCGTCCAAGGCAAACGTAGACGCCTGGTTCAAGCTCGGTAACCCTGGCTGGGATTGGGCCAGCTTCTCCCATTCGCTGGCCAAGTCATACACCTTGACATCGCCGTCCGCAGGAGTCACCGGCTCGGGGCCACTCCAGCTCAGCTATCCCAAGGACATCGATAACGCTTGGCCCGGCATCTGGCAGCAGACGCTCGATGGACTGGGGTTCTCCAAGTGCGAGGACGCTGCCAAGCAGGCTTGCGGGCCCATCTTTGTCCCGGACACCATCCATCCGGCGTCCAAGACGAGGAGCTTTGCCGGAAATGCCTATCTCGAACCGGCGCGCAGTCGTGAGAACCTCACCGTCGTTCCCAACGCCGTAGTCCGTAGAATCCTCTTCAACAAGTATGGAGACGCAGTCACCGCCACAGGCGTCGAATACACCAAGGACGGCGAGACGCAAGCCGCCGCAGGCAAGGAGATCATCCTGACCGCAGGCACCATCAACAGCCCCCGGCTGCTCGAGCTGTCTGGAGTGGGCGATGCGAAGCGCCTGGAAAAGCTGGGCATCGACGTCGTCGTCGACAACCCCAACGTCGGCGAGAACCTGCAGAACCACCCCATGTGCGGCCTGAGCTTCGAGGCCCAGGACGACGAGAAGACCATGGACGGCCTTGCGCGCCAGGATCCAGCCGCCCTTCAGGCCGCCATGGCCGCATACGCGCAGCAGCTGGGCCCCTTTGCCAGCAGCGGCACCAACAACGCCGCCCAGCTGCCGTTCCCAGGCATCCGAACTGCCGAGGGCAAGGCCGAGGTCGAGGAGCTCATCAGCAAGTACATCACCGGCGCGGAGCTGGGCGGCAACGCTGCCTTTGTCGAAACCCAGGCCGACTTTGTCCGCTCCATCCTGACTTCGCCCGACGAGGCCTCGGGATACTACATCTCGTTCCCGGGCTACGCGGCCTTCAACCCCGACGGCACAATGGCGCCGCCGCCCGCCGGCACCGGCAAGCACTTCTCCATTGCTCTCCTGCTGACGCACCCGCTCTCGCGAGGCTCCGTCCACATCACGTCCGCGACCGACGTGGCCATCGACCCTCGCTACTTCTCGCATCCCCTCGACATTGAGATCCTCGCGCGCCACCTCCGCTTCGTCGAGTCCATTGCCAGCGCCGAGCCGCTCGCCAGCCACCTCAAGGCGGTCGAGAGGCGCAACGCGGCCGTCGACCAGGCCAAGGAGTACCTGCGCCGAACTGCGGTGGGCGCTCACCACTTCACCGGCACCTGCTCCATGATGCCCGAAGCCCTGGGCGGCGTAGTAGATGCCCAGCTGCGCGTCTACGGCGTCTCCAACCTGCGGGTTGCTGATGCCAGCATCATCCCCCTGACGCCGCGGGCGAATCCTCAGGCGACGGTGTATGGCGTGGCTGAGCATGCGGCAGCCATCATCAAGGGGGGAGGTTTAAGCGGTGGAGAGATTTGACTGACTGTAGTATACAACTATTGGTGCTCTATATGAATAAGATAGATGATGGCTCTCTCGGCAATGGCTACCAGCAATACAGCTGATTCACAGGAGGATCAAGATCAAGCGATGCCAGAACGTGGAAATTGGCCCGCTGGACCCAATTGCAGTAGGCATGCATATCTCCTGGCCAGATATTAGTTCGATCAAAGCTTAGTGCGGGCTATATTCCTCAATCAATCACACTTATTCTCTCCTTAGATCAATGTGATTCTGAGTATTCTTCGATTTGTGCGATTTGCTTCTTCGTCTTCTAAAATGCAATGGCCCATCTGATGTTAGACGTATAGTGAGTCCTGTGATGAAGGAAGGTAATCCGGCACCGCCGTCTTCGTGTAGTTAGGTGTTTGACCTATCGGAGATGCAACCGAGCAAGGTGGAGCAAAGATACAGTAATCGGACAAAAGTCTGCGACCACCCCACATCACACCCTATAACCACATTTTACATCAACAACTTTAACTTTAATTTTCTTAATAGTAAATAATAGAAATAGTATAAAAATTATATTAGATTAAAGCTTTAGTTATAGCATTTAATATTTTATATACTAACCTTATGCCTAGATTACAGCGCGCAGATGATAAGGCAGTAAGTCTAACAGGCCTTAAATTTAGTCTTATAGTATTGCCTCTTACATAACCTTTACAGCAGCTTTAAATCTTACCTAATTAGCTTTATTATTTTTAAGCTTTTAAAGATCTAGAAATAAAGAATGTAATTTCCTTTTTAGCAAGGCCTAGCTGTGCTTAATAAGATTAATATTAGGTAAGTAAGGTGGCTAGTTAATTTAAGAAATTGCATTATATAGTAGCTAACTTTAAGTTAACTCTGTATTATGTAAAGTGCAGTTATCTTGCTAAAACTCTTATATACTATTAAATAAAGGTAAAAGACCTTCTTTAAGAGCTTCCTAATAGCTTTAAGCTGTATAGCCTCTGCTATAGCGTGTTAGATCTTGTTTTATTATTACTAACAGGGTCCTGCCTTTATCCTAGATTGCCGCCTAGAATATAATAGAAATTACAGGCTTAACATAGTCTATAAGATTAATAAGACCCTGATTATATTTCTTATATATAAATTAGAAGATAAAGGTGTTAAGGTTGCTTAATTTATTTATAGCCATAACCTTATTAAAGAAGATTACTTAAAGTGTATTAGCTAAAATCTATTGCTAACTTTAAACAGTTATACCTTTATTAATTCTTTTACCCTTAGTAACTAAGTATATGTAAATTAAAGCTAATAAGCTACTGCTTTTAGTATTATCTTTAGTTATTTAAAAGCTTTCTATTTATATAAAAAAAACGCTATAAATAGCATGTTTAATAGTTTTATAAAATATGCAACTACCTGTAGCGTTAATAAGGGCATTTTAACTAACAGATTAGTCCTTTTTTATTAATTATATAATATAATAAACCTCTGTATAACTAAGCTTCTTTAGCCAGCTGCTGTAAGGTCTTTTAGCTACTGTTTATTATATATTCTAGCGTTTTTTAATAGCAAGGACAGTTAAATAGGTGGTGTTAAACTTACGCGCTATAGCCCTAGTAGACTTTCTAGCTTCTAGCATCCTAACTATAGCAGCTCTAGCAGTTTTTAAGAATTTATAGTTTCTCTAGCAATTTCCTGATATTTTAGTACTAAATTTTTAATTTTCTAACATAATTTAAAGGAATTGTGTAAGGTTAAAGATTAGGGGTGGTTGGCGACTGCGTTGCAGGGCGACGCGGTCGCGTCAAGGTGGTCGCAGACTTTTATCCGCAGACTGTAATAGAGTTAATCCAATTTAGCATGCGATACGGCTCTGCGCTGATAGTAGGCACACGGAGTTAGACAGCTACTGGTGACGGAAACGGTCGCCCAGCCTCCCGACGGTGAACGGCTGGGGCATCCCGCATCAGTGCAAGAGCTTCGAAGAGGCAGTGGAGTGGACAGTGAAGCACCACGCGCCGCACGAGAAGGTGGGGATTGCCTGAACCAAGATCCCTTCGGCGCACGTCTCGATTCGGAACGACAGCGAGAGCAATCGGTTGGGGGGGGTGGGGGCGAGCGAGGGCGGGCGGAATCAGGTAGTCGATCGATGAGCTTGCAAAAGTTCCTCTACGAGGCTACACGATATAAAATTGTTGATGCGAAAGGAGTGTGTATGCCAAGTCTGTAGATCCAAAGATTGATCCCCCAGCGGATGTACGCTGTAGGTCACCTACTGGTAGGTAGGATTTAGTGGTTGTAAGCCTGCAGCGGGGCAGAACGCAGCTACGGAGCGAGCCGAAGCCCCCCAATCCCTCACTCAGTGCCAGCTGGAGGGCTTGTGGAATCTGTGTCGCCTGTGTCACATGTCACATGCCTGCTGCCTGAAGGGGGTGGTGGTGATTGCGATTTCAACTTCCCCCGGCTTTTGAACCAGCGCTTTCTTTTTTATAATTCCAACTCTTTTACACTTCTCTCACAAGTGTTTGCTCACTCCCATCGTTATACGCAACGACTCTCGTCCATAATACGCACGATATACGGGCGTTAATTTCAC